AATTTGGGAACCGGAAGAGGTAAGGAGTCCGAAATGTACCTCTGTGACTCCACATTGTGGAAACTCAGTTGTAGTGTATAAGATGAACTAGATGGACCCATACTTACCCAAACATGGATTAATAGGTTCTCCATGACTATGAGGACAAACATGAGTGAAACGGTCTCAATCCAAGGGAGGAACATCAAATGGACCTAATTTGGGAACCGAAGAGGTAAGGAGTCCGAAATGTACCTCTGTGCTCCACATTGTGGAAACTCACTTGTAGTGTATAAGATGAACTAGATGGACCCATACTTACCCAAACATGGATTAATAGGTTCTACACATGACTATGAGGACAAACATGAGTGAAACGGTCTCAATCCAAGGGAGGAACATCAAATGGACCTAATTTGGGAACCGGAAGAGGTAAGGAGTCCGAAATGTACCTCTGTGACTCCAATTGTGGAAACTCACTTGTAGTGTATAAGATGAACTAGATGACCCATACTTACCCAAACATGGATTAATAGGTTCTATACATGACTATGAGGACAAACATGAGTGAAACGGTCTCAATCCAAGGAGGAACATCAAATGGACCAAATTTGGGAACCGGAAGAGGTAAGGAGTCCGAAATGTACCTCTGTGACTCCACATTGTAGGAAACTCTTGTAATGTTTGGGTAAGTATGGGTCCATCTAGTTCATCTTATACACTACAAGTGAGTTTCCTCAATGTGGAGTCACAGAGGTACATTTCGGACTCCTTACCTCTTCCGGTTCCCAAATTAGGTCCATTTGATGTTCCTCCCTTGGATTGAGACCGTTTCACTCATGTTTGTCCTCATAGTCATGTGTAGAACCTATTAATCCATGTTTGGGTAAGTATGGGTCCATCTAGTTCATCTTATACACTACAAGTGAGTTTCCACAATGTGGAGTCACAGAGGTACATTTCGGACTCCTTACCTCTTCCGGTTCCCAAATTAGGTCCATTTGATGTTCCTCCCTTGGATTGAGACCGTTTCACTCATGTTTGTCCTCATAGTCATGTGTAGAACCTATTAATCCATGTTTGGGTAAGTATGGGTCCATCTAGTTCATCTTATACACTACAAGTGAGTTTCCACAATGTGGAGTCACAGAGGTACATTTCGGACTCCTTACCTCTTCCGGTTCCCAAATTAGGTCCATTTGATGTTCCTCCCTTGGATTGAGACCGTTTCACTCATGTTTGTCCTCATAGTCATGTGTAGAACCTATTAATCCATGTTTGGGTAAGTATGGGTCCATCTAGTTCATCTTATACACTACAAGTGAGTTTCCACAATGTGGAGTCACAGAGGTACATTTCGGACTCCTTACCTCTTCCGGTTCCCAAATTAGGTCCATTTGATGTTCCTCCCTTGGATTGAGACCGTTTCACTCATGTTTGTCCTCATAGTCATGTGTAGAACCTATTAATCCATGTTTGGGTAAGTATGGGTCCATCTAGTTCATCTTATACACTACAAGTGAGTTTCCACAATGTGGAGTCACAGAGGTACATTTCGGACTCCTTACCTCTTCCGGTTCCCAAATTAGGTCCATTTGATGTTCCTCCCTTGGATTGAGACCGTTTCACTCATGTTTGTCCTCATAGTCATGTGTAGAACCTATTAATCCATGTTTGGGTAAGTATGGGTCCATCTAGTTCATCTTATACACTACAAGTGAGTTTCCACAATGTGGAGTCACAGAGGTACATTTCGGACTCCTTACCTCTTCCGGTTCCCAAATTAGGTCCATTTGATGTTCCTCCCTTGGATTGAGACCGTTTCACTCATGTTTGTCCTCATAGTCATGTGTAGAACCTATTAATCCATGTTTGGGTAAGTATGGGTCCATCTAGTTCATCTTATACACTACAAGTGAGTTTCCACATGTGGAGTCACAGAGGTACATTTCGGACTCCTTACCTCTTCCGGTTCCCAAATTTGGTCCATTTGATGTTCCTCCCTTGGATTGAGACCGTTTCACTCATGTTTGTCCTCATAGTCATGTGTAGAACCTATTAATCCATGTTTGGGTAAGTATGGGTCCATCTAGTTCATCTTATACACTACAAGTGAGTTTCCACAATGTGGAGTCACAGAGGTACATTTCGGACTCCTTACCTCTTCCGGTTCCCAAATTAGGTCCATTTGATGTTCCTCCCTTGGATTGAGACCGTTTCACTCATGTTTGTCCTCATAGTCATGTGTAGAACCTATTAATCCATGTTTGGGTAAGTATGGGTCCATCTAGTTCATCTTATACACTACAAGTGAGTTTCCACAATGTGGAGTCACAGAGGTACATTTCGGACTCCTTACCTCTTCCGGTTCCCAAATTAGGTCCATTTGATGTTCCTCCCTTGGATTGAGACCGTTTCACTCATGTTTGTCCTCATAGTCATGTGTAGAACCTATTAATCCATGTTTGGGTAAGTATGGGTCCATCTAGTTCATCTTATACACTACAAGTGAGTTTCCACAATGTGGAGTCACAGAGGTACATTTCGGACTCCTTACCTCTTCCGGTTCCCAAATTTGGTCCATTTGATGTTCCTCCCTTGGATTGAGACCGTTTCACTCATGTTTGTCCTCATAGTCATGTGTAGAACCTATTAATCCATGTTTGGGTAAGTATGGGTCCATCTAGTTCATCTTATACACTACAAGTGAGTTTCCACAATGTGGAGTCACAGAGGTACATTTCGGACTCCTTACCTCTTCCGGTTCCCAAATTTGGTCCATTTGATGTTCCTCCCTTGGATTGAGACCGTTTCACTCATGTTTGTCCTCATAGTCATGTGTAGAACCTATTAATCCATGTTTGGGTAAGTATGGGTCCATCTAGTTCATCTTATACACTACAAGTGAGTTTCCACAATGTGGAGTCACAGAGGTACATTTCGGACTCCTTACCTCTTCCGGTTCCCAAATTTGGTCCATTTGATGTTCCTCCCTTGGATTGAGACCGTTTCACTCATGTTTGTCCTCATAGTCATGTGTAGAACCTATTAATCCATGTTTGGGTAAGTATGGGTCCATCTAGTTCATCTTATACACTACAAGTGAGTTTCCCAATGTGGAGTCACAGAGGTACATTTCGGACTCCTTACCTCTTCCGGTTCCCAAATTTGGTCCATTTGATGTTCCTCCCTTGGATTGAGACCGTTTCACTCATGTTTGTCCTCATAGTCATGTGTAGAACCTATTAATCCATGTTTGGGTAAGTATGGGTCCATCTCGTTCATCTTATACACTACAAGTGAGTTTCCACAATGTGGAGTCACAGAGGTACATTTCGGACTCCTTACCTCTTCCGGTTCCCAAATTATGTCCATTTGATCCATTTGATGTTCCTCCCTTGGATTGAGACCGTTTCACTCATGTTTGTCCTCATAGTCATGTGTAGAACCTATTAATCCATGTTTGGGTAAGTATGGGTCCATCTAGTTCATCTTATACACTACAAGTGAGTTTCCACAATGTGGAGTCACAGAGGTACATTTCGGACTCCTTACCTCTTCCGGTTCCCAAATTAGGTCCATTTGATGTTCCTCCCTTGGATTGAGACCGTTTCACTCATGTTTGTCCTCATAGTCATGTGTAGAACCTATTAATCCATGTTTGGGTAAGTATGGGTCCATCTAGTTCATCTTATACACTACAAGTGAGTTTTCAATCGTATTAATTCAATACACTATTGATATAACGTAATTTTCATCTTATGTATTTGAGTAGTGAATAATCTTCGAATTCTACACTGGCAGCAATCTAAAGGGAAAATGGTTTTGGGCACTTTACTTTTCGAAACTATTTGTTAGCATATGATGTTTTTGATTATGATTCTTTTACGAATAGTCTAGTTTTACTTTTACATATCAACGCTTTGAGACGAAGCATTACATTTGTGTCTTATCTATGAAGCAAACTTGATGACAACCAAATATTTCTATACCGATTGGCGATTCCGTTAACCTCAAGCATTTCTTATACTGGAAAAATATTAAAATGTCTTTATCCAACACGCAGAAAACAAATAAAAATGCAATCCCGATCAGAGTCAGCATTTGGTAGTATCATCGGTTAAAGCATAAACCGTTCCGGGTTAAGTGTTGGTAGCCTAAGGAAAGGCCATGTCGTCTTGTGTCTCCTGATACATTTTTAGTCTAAACGAAAATGTTTCGTCAAAAACTCATAATTAAGAAAATAAAACTCTAGAAAAACGAGAACTGTCATGGATTCAAAATGCAATTTTTTTAGCTACAAAAGGAAAAATCGAAAACAAAAGAAGAACATGATGAGAAGAAGGAGAAGAAGAAGAAAAGAGTAAATTATCAATCCAATGTTTTCAAGAGCCTGAAGAGACCAGCTGCTTCTCTAATCCGCGAGAAGTCGATGCAGAAAGCTTGCACTTCAATGAATAGATCCTTCACTGTTCCATCAACCAGCAAAACAAAAAACAGATTCATTTTATCAAAACACATTATATATACCCGACTCATAGATTTTGAAAGCATAGTTATAGACAATAGATTCCTCTTGTGAGTGTCTCTATTGATCTTTCTTTGAGTGTAACTGGCAAAATACCAAAGTTGATAGCAATCAGTCAGAAAACAAGAAGATGAGAATACACATACCGTCGATGATGTTGTTGCGAATCAAACTTTGCAAGAAGACGCAAACAAGTCGTACAAGCCTATTCTGCATGTATTTGTCTTGCTGCTACATATCGAAAAACAATACAAGTTAAAGAAACAACCAAATGGAAGAAGAAATGAGCAAACTGTAAACCAACATATCCAGAGATATATACACAAAAGCATAAAAACGTCGGAGCACGAGCACAGGTATTTATAACACATGATTACAGGATGATGCTATAGCTGCATAGAAAAAGCTTTGCTCTAAGATAACAAAAGAGAGCTTTGTGTTTTTAATACCTTGGCGTTTTCACAAGACGATATGCAACTAGTGATGTACGAACGTAAGAACTCCTTCGGAAGCGGAACTGCAGTTGTGAGCCTATTCACAACTTCCATTGAGTGCAGGCTCATGTCCATATCTACAAGAGCATCATAATAGCTGCGCAAGCATTTCTCAGATTTCCCACTTTATACTGTTTCTATTGTTTTTTTAGAGTGTAAAATAGTGGAACTGATAAAGTGATGATGACTTACGCATTAACCTCTTTGGTGTTATTCAGCTTGATGAGAATCTCAACTGCTATTTGAGGATTGTGCTCTACTAATTGCTGAAGATAAGAAAACAGATCACATTATAGGAAAGACGATAACAGAGAGAAAAAAAAAAATGGCAGATAATGAAATCTCATACCGGCAGCTTCCCTGGAGTTATTCCACAGTGATAGACAAACTTTGTGTCATTTGTCAATTCTGTAATGATGTCCTGGCCAGCAAATGAACAAATTTATTGTTTACTTCACTCAAAAGATCCAAGATGTCAAAATTGATACAGATGTATGGGCAAGGTTGATAAATTAAACAATCACAATCGCTATTTTATCTATTGCGATGGTTATTTCCAATAAACTCTTACTGCAATCAGTTCTCTCTTAATCTACTAGTGGGAGCTACTAGATCTTTCAATCCAATGAGAAAGTAAGAAAGTGATAGCACGACTTCTCTCTCAAAAGTAGAGTATGTAAAAAATTTGTGCACATGTAGTTACTGTCCCATTCCTATGCTCACTTATCAGTGTTAAAGCAATTAATTGATATCCTAAGAGAAGGACACTACTTGTATGACTTTATACACATCTCAGGGACTAAAAAGCAATATACCTCTTGCTCCGCTGGTGGAACTGTCACCTTCAAAGCCTTAACAAGCAAGTCTCTGACTGTTGCGCCTCTGCTAGTATCAGCACACATTTTATCGTCCCAAATAAGCTCATGCTTGTTATCAGGATCAATCCAAATAAACTGTAAGAAGTTGAACCATTTAGGTAGTTATATAGTTTGCTTAACCAGTATTTAATGAGTTAACCTTAGCCTTACCTCGCTCTGATGAACTGGGTACCTCGGAGGACATGGGCGGATCCACCTAGGAGTTAATCCCCCAGTTGTCAATTTTCCCAATATTCCAGGTAGGGCCTCATTTCTATCACCAGATCCAATTTTGGAATTCCCTCCAGGTTGCACATCAAACCTAAACGATTATATGACTAAAAGATCATCCATAAAATCAACTCGAAATTGGCACGTGATAGTATAACACAGAAAAATCAAGCTTGGCAGAAATCTGGAAGCTTGCGAGTATTAAGTCATGATTCAAATGTGCATAACAGTTACGGAAAATAAAAAGGGAATCTGCTAGCTCATAGGTTACTTACTCTGGAGAGTTAGGATCACACCCACGAGGAACATCAGGATCATGCAATAGCTTTTTGAGGGCATTGTCTGCAAAAATGTGACTAGATGGTCCAGGATTGGCTTTGCCATACTCTCGCTGCAGCTCTCCTAGCTCCGGAAAATCCTGACAGAACATCAGCATACTAAATCACTAACCAGAACAAACAAAAAAAAATTGTTCTTCAAGTAGCGGTACGCATAGTAAAGGAACAGTTATGATTAAGATAAGATGGAGTAGAGATATAACTAGAACATTAGATGTCTATGCGTGAACCGCTCTTACATGAGTTGAAGGATCAAACGATTTGATATAATCAACAGCTGACTGTTTGAGAATCTGCATGAGAGCAAAGTATAGTTATTTTAATTGATCATGAATAGTAAATTAGTAATCCACAGGTCACAGAGATCATAAAATTATTCAAATCAGGACATGAAAATAATATGCAAAACAAAGTAGCCTTAGCATATGCCTTACACTACTCCTGGATTGACTATGACAACGATAACTGAACCCAGAAAATTATAATCTTAGAGAGTAAATGCGAAAAGAGAATTGTATAGGACCTTTAGAAATCATAGCTCTAAACCATATCCTCAAATATTGGATAGATATCTCAACAAAACATCAAAATATTGAACACTGTCCACAAGAGTATTATACATCACGAGATCATTGAGTACATATCTACATGCTTTAGAGAAACAATTGAGCAAAAAAATCGGAATTTACATAGAATTTAGCAAAAAAACGAAGCAAGCAAACAGGTCAAGACAACAGCTATACGTGCAGCTATATGTTTACCTCTTTAGCATTGAGGTAATTATTCCATTGCAACAGGTGGAGAAGAAATGCTCTCTCATACTTCTCTACTTGCTCGTTACAAGCAGCCTGCAAGAGACATAGATACCTCATAATCAACACATCACTTACAAAATTAGCTTCAAGGAGTATTGTAAGCCGCTTACATTTATCATATCCGATACAAATGGGTTGGCAGATGGTTTGTTGGAAGAATAACAATGGTAAATGATAGCAAATCCAATCAGACGATCAGTACCCGGGAGTATCATCGGATCCTGAAATTCAACCAAATTTCATTTTCCGATTAGTCACAACCTGAGAAATGGAAATTATAAACCTAGCCTATGCAATAGGCAAAAACTTAGGAAATTGTAATCAGACTGAAGCAGCGAATACTCCATTTTCATTCACGAATTCAATATCCAAACCATGTGAAGATGAAAATTATACATATAAAATATCGTGTAACGAGAACGAAACGAGCTTCGAGTAAGCACTGAGTAGTATAGGAGAATCGCGAAGGACCAAGCCTCGATTACAAAAATCAAACCCTAGATTTAAATCAAATCCTTCCGAGTGAAAAAAAAAAATCGAAAAACCCCCAAAACTCGCTAGTGTCACACAATTACAAATGAGCACGGCGGCGAGCAACGGCGGGAAGCTCAAAGGAAGAAGAGGAATAGGGAGCGAGAGAGAGAGAGAGAGAGAGAGAGAGAGAGAGAACATGCCTGTAAGAGCAGTGAAAGCGAGGAGCAGACAGTGAGGTAACGGGAGCGAGGGAATTTGGAATTGAATTCCGCGAGAACTTCTTCGATCGGCCGGAGATCCGACTGGAGCAGCGACAAAACAACCGCCGTCTCTCCCATCTTCATAATCATCATCGTTCGCTCGATCGATCTCAGTGCGCTAAACCTGGATTCTCTGTATTCAATCTGGATGATTTTTATTTCAAAGTTTTCTTCACTTATTTCTATATTCCTGAAATTGACCTTATACTTCTTGCCCACAGAGAAGGTTTGAGTCCTTCGAGAAATCCTTTTTTTGAGGCCATTTTTGGAAATTTGGCTTGCTCATAGTTTCCTTACCATAAAACTGGGAAGACTTTTAGAAGGATTGTGTACGTCAAATATTTATATTAACTAATCATGTTACAAATATTTAGGTTACCAAAAATAAATTGTTTTTAGATTTCAGTATTAAGGAAATGAATTAGTGTTTATGTTTGAACTACTTTATTACTTTTAGGTATAAGAAATGAAATAAAGTTATATATTTTGCTGAAAAAATCTGCCTATATTGACTCCTCTCATTGTTTTTTTGTTTTTAACTCTTGGTATAATATAATTTGCATAAAGTATGTGTTAGAACTTGGAAGTTATAATTTAGAATTGTTAACACATGGTACTAGAATAGAGTTGGTTTAACATTATCAAATCATAATTAGTATTTTTTTAAATATATCGCAAATTTGAAACAATATACCACATGCGTTTACAACATGAAAATCAAATTTTTAAATTAAACTAAATAACCAAGTACCAATTATACATCTCTAAAAAAAAATATTTTATATCTAGTAAGTAAATCAAATCAAAAACAACTTTTCCAATAAAAAGTTAAAAACCAAATAAAGAAACATGTTAAATTCAGACTAATTGAGTTATTCCACACTTCTTGAACAGTTGAACTTAATTGGTAGTCCGATATTCATACATCTTGCGAATCAAATGAACATAAATCAGATAGACGAAAAGGAATTTTTCACTTGAACATTAAATTATGGGATGTGTGTGTGGTGTGGCTCATAGGGCAAGAGCAGAGCTAAGGTTCATAGGGTTCATATACTTAGTGGTTCCAGTCAAGATATGACGGACGATCATGCGGTTTGCTTTCTCGGTCGGATGAAACGCATCCCAAAACACGTATGAATCTCGGTCCGGACACAAGTTCGATATTATAGTACACAATCCCATCCCATTGTACGGCCCTTGTCCGCAACAAGCAACCTTCGACGTTATAAATCCTATAATCCAACAGAAATAAATACTTGTCACAAGATTTGTCCTCGACCAAAAGATTAGCTGGATATAAGGGAAAAGCTCAATATAAATTACCGTATCTTCGTGGAGTGGTTAGAAAATCATTTTGCATTTGGTTAGTGTTTGCTGCAATAAACACATTTTTCCCAATCTTTCTGTTAAGTTCGGTTATCATTTGAAGCAACTGAGTATCATATAGAGACGCGGCTCGTTCTAGCTCGGCTGAGCATCTCCCATTGGACGAGCTTGATCTTGCCAACTCGGCCGGTGCACATCCTAGTGGTCCAGCTCCAGTCACTATAACTCGACTCACTCCAAGCGAAGATAACCTCTACGAATAACAACACAACATTACAGTAATAAAAATCAAATCAAGGTGAAAGGTCTGGAGTTCCCATGCATAAGACCAACTCAATACAATAAAAATTTGTTTTCTTTATTTTATAAGATTGTTGTTACCGTTAGTATTTTCTTGAATTCGGAAATAAGCAACCGGACGTAGTCAGGTAGAGCATATTGGCGCGATCTAGCGGAATATGGCACCAAGAAATAGTTGTTGACGAAATCGTTTCCACCGACCGTGACTAACACAACGCTTTGACTCACGAGCCGCTGCGTTTGCGGTTTCCCAATCAAGCGGCTCACACGTTGTTGGTATTGTTGGAAGTAGTCGAGTTGTTGGTACATTCTTATAATATTTATCTGCATACCAGAAAATATATATACATATAAGATAAGCAGACAATTTGAGAAGATTATAACTAGAGCTCAATTCCTATTTGATTACTCACGAATTGAAAGCCAGTATCGTTTAGAATTCCGATGCCGGCGGACGCAAAATTGGCACCGTTAAGTATTCTCCGACCCCTTAGTTCTGGACTTAGGTACGGTAACGGCGGCTCTTCGATGCCGATCGCCTCACCTAATATATGGTAGCCAATCCATATTTAATTATTAGTCAAATTCACATACATATGTCAAGGATTAGTATGTTTTTTTGGTGCATTGTTTACATGATTACTTTTTGACAAAAAGAGTTGTATATTCGTCGAAATATTGAACCAATATTACTTGAGATCGGTTGATGAGTTAAATGAGGAAACGTAACTGATAAGATCTGGAATGTTAAGACCGTTGGAAAACCGGCCGGTTGGTCTCCGAGTTGGAAAATCGATTCCATACGGTGGAGAATCGGCACGTGCAGTTGTCACCAAATAGTTATTGTTGCCACTGTCGACGAGTGAGTCGCCGAAAACGAAAAAAGCACGTGCCTCGACCGCGATAGGACCGAACATAACCAATACCATGAACAGAGACACGGATGCTATGGCCAATGACGCGGATTTACTATTTGAGACTGCCATAACGGCGCCCTTTTATATTCAATTTGAAAATGACTTTGTTGAGCAAATGAGGATAGAAATGAAAACTGAAGGACTGGAATATATATAGTTAGATCTATGGCTTTGACTTCTCTTCTGAATTATTCAAGTGTCTTCATTCCCGTGTTATATGACAGCTAAAAGTGCCTTTATTTGCTTTAATTTTTTTTACAGTCTTGCTTACAATTTTCATAGATTACCAACATACAGTTTGTTTCCCTTGTGATGATTTAATGCCACCTATATCCACCTCAAGTTTCACAAGAAGGTAAGGAACGAAAGCGTTAGGACACAAACCCTTTATTCCTAACAAGAATTCACAAGAGGCTTGTGTATGACAACTTCTATACAAGAACAACAATAAACTGTCCCATAGTAAGAGTTTACGTACTCATATTCCTAAGCTCATGTCGAGTATTAAAACATATGATGATTTTTACCTACATTTTTTTGCTTTAACGTTTTCGCCCACACTTTTTTTCTCTAGCTTTTGGAACTACAAGTATACAACATAAGTACATAACTATGCTTCTCGGTGAACAGCAAAATAACATTACGATTTCAAATACAAACATCTAACGCTAAACACTAGCCGGCTAACATTCATCAATAGTATCTTACCAATCTTTCGGTTTTATGCCACCACCTCTTGACCTCCTCATCCATTATAATAACTTTTTACTATGAACAAAAATAACTAAATCAGTAAATCTACGTAAAATTCATATAGATAAATTGGAGTTATGTATAAAAAGTATAATAATGTTATAGAGAAAATCAAATGATAAATATATGCATCTATCGAAAGTATACTGTTGGGTTTCCAATAAGCCCAAGTCATCCGAACATCCTGATCCAGAATAGCCCACTTGACCTTTAATTATATTCCGAATCGAAGCCTAATTGTCAGCCACGTGGACAATCAATCTGAACCGGGTTCAGATTGCAACGTCTTCAAACTCGTTTGGTTCACGGTCCAATTAAGAGAAGGAGACAGAGAGAAGTTACTTTGGTCTCAATTGTCAGAGTATCATTAGGTTTCTTCTTTCCACTCAAACACAGTCGTGTAATAACTCTCGCCATAGCTCCACGCCGACGAAAATCCAACGATTCAAGGTTCAAGCTATAACCAATTTACTCCACCGAGCATCGTCTTGATTTGATTTCGACCCGGTTTTGCTCGCTCACAATTAGACCTAAAACCCAAAACCTCAGCAGAGCAAAATCCTTCACGACGGAGGATGCGACCTGCGTTCAACTCCTTCCAGCCTCAAGCTCGCCCGCAGCGACCTCAACACCAACACCAATACCAACAGCAACCACAGCAGCAACAGCAACAACAGCAACAACATGTATCTCTCTTTCTCTTAACCACAAAATCAAGGATGTTCAGTTGTTCATATCAGTTTCTCTGTTTTTTTGTTTCGTCTCAGCAGCAGAACAATGCGTATCCTGGATTCCAGCAACCCAATGGATACCAGAATCAAGGGATGATGAATCCGCAGATGATGAGCAATCCAATGATGGGTGGTCACATGAACAACATGGTTCCAATGCCCAATATGAATCCCCAGTTCTTCAACAACATGCCTCAACAACAACAACAGTTTCCTCCTCAGTTTGGTTTGCCAAACAACATCAGTCAGTTTCTTCCAAGCCTCTTGGGAAATCTTATAGCTCAGTCACTTCCCCTTCAGCCCAATTTTTTCCAGCCTCCACCTTCTGCTTTCCCTTCTCAGCCACAACAACCTCCACAGTTCAATTCTTTTAACCCTCCTCGTCCCTATCTTCCGGTTCAACCTCCGCATCAAAACCACCAGCCTCCTCCGGGCTTTTCTCAGCCACGGCCACAGGTGATTATACTTCTTATCTCTCGAGAAGTGTCTTCTCAATTTGGTTTTCTATTACTTCTTGTTCTAAGAGTTAACTTTGCTTCAGCTTCCACAGGGGCAGTCCGTGGAAACTCCAAACAATAACAATGGCTTTCGAAATAATTATACAAAACAACAGAAATTCAACGGCCAAGGTCAAGGGTAAGTTCCTACTACTTTCTCAACTTTCGTTTATCTGTTTGATGCAATCTTGGTTTATAAGTATTCTGAGTTGTTGTAGATTCCAGAGACCTCACTTGCATCAAGCAGATAATGCAAAGAAAAAGTTTGGGTCCAAGAAAGATCACGCGGGCAAAGGTTAGTCCTTTTCCATCAAATCACGTCACTGATGTGAGATTGTAAGAATTTTTTGTCAGAAAGGTGTAAACTTCGGACTCTTTCAGTTTTACTTGGAAATGCCAAATGTCACTAGCTCAAAGACTGGTGTTGAAGTTGTTGATGTATTAGTTAATAAAGTTAGCATTGAAATAGATAATTTGCACATCTAATTTCAAACTTTTCTGGTTTATTTCAAGTGAGTAGTGCTGTGTATAATCCTCTGGTATTTCCAATGTTTCTGTATTCCCTACCGCAACTCTCCTGAAACACTTAAAAATGTTGAAGTTGTTTCCTGTGTTCTTTGTTTTTGATCTCTCCATTTATGACATCAATTTACAGGGAAGAAAAAAAAGATGGCGCCTGTGCTCGATTGGTCTGATGCTGGTGACATAGCTACGGAAAACAAAAGGTAGTGCCAGGTCTCAATATCATAGCACCATGCTGTTTGGCTCATAGAATGTCTTTAGGTTCATAAGCCATTTTATTCCCTTCACTCTTAGTATTGGTTAGAAGGGTTATCTTAGTTAAATCATTTTGTTCAAGTTGATTGGGTCCAGTCTCTAATATTCTTCTTTTGGTGATATTTTTCTCCGAGAGAAGACCACTTGCTATACACTATACTAAAAAAGAAGTTCGGCAATGGCGTGAAGCTCGGCTTAAGAATTTTCCAACGAAACACAATGTTGAAAAGGTTAGAGAGTAGCCCTCCCTCTCCCACCGCCTTTGCTTTGTGTGAAGTTCACTCTCTTTAGGGAAAATACTGAATGGTAAAGCATTGCTATTTGCAGAAATTAAACAAAAATGTTCCAGACTGCGTCCTTGACGAGGAAGCAAAATTGCGTCGTCAGGTACTCTTTTATTTTGGTCTACCTCCTTAGTTTCTCATAATTCTTTTTTCAATTAGTATTTTTCTTACCTTGAAGTTTTTATTGATATATTTGAGTTGCAGCAAATCCAGGAAGTGTTAGCAAAGCAGGCTGAGTTAGGTGTTGAAGTTGCAGAAGTTCCTTCACATTATTTAGCCAATACAGATGAACAAGTTAATGGAGACAGCAATGGACAACATCGACAAAAGGATGGCAAAAGGGGAAGATTCCAGAATAACAGACATCACAAGAGAAGACATGGTGGTGAAAAAGACAAGTTTAGTAAGAAACCAAGGGTCCAAGACGAAAATTCATCACAAGAATCTTCCATCACGACGAGAGAACCTACATTGCTTGAGAAGCTCCTGAGCACAGACATAAAGAGAGAGAAAAGCCAGTTGTTACAGGTCTTCCGCTTCATGGTAATCAACTCATTCTTCAAGGAGTTTCCAGAGCAACCTCTGCAGTTACCTTTGGTTATGGTAGAAGAAACTGGTTGTGAACATGACAGGGAAGACCAGTTTGATGATGATGATGATGTTTATGTGAACGGTGATGATGACTCGTGTGATAAAGCTGTTGGTTGATAATGTTAAGTTTAAGTTTGTGAGCTCAAGAGTCTTGAGGATTTGTGGTAATCAATCTATGTGTTTCATTTTTTTTGAGGATATGTTGTTTGTAGGAAACAATGAGATTAAAGCCTCATACCTGAATATTAGAGAGTACTAATAAACTATATGAATCTATTAATTTTATTTCTACATATCGTTTAAAAAAAATTTCAAAACATGCTCAAACCTATTTACACTTATATATAGGAAATACATGCAAAAAGAGAAGAACCCACGACAACTGATGTATAACAAATTAAACAATAATCCTAATTCGAGCTTAGGTGATATGTATGATAAACAATAAATAAATAAAAACTCTCTCAGAACCAATTCCATGGATGTTGATACTCGTCACAACACCAATTCTTGAAGTCTCCATTTTTACCAATCAACAAACCTAAATCATCAATTTCCAAAAGATCATCCATCTCCAAATACCCTGTTCTCTCCTCAACCTCCGGCTTATGCATCCCTTCACCGCCGCCACTAGGAACCAATATGCTCTCCTTATTGTCCGACGAGCCACACGATGATGACACGTCATATTGCTCCGGCTTGTTTTCTTGTCCCACAAGAAACCTAGTCCAAGTTCCACTTGATGACCCATTATTCGGATTCATCATCAAGTTCTTCTGTTTCACCTTCGTCGAAAACCTTAGCATAGACTCACCACCGCCGGTGTAACCACTCGCAGCATTGACACTTTCTCGATCTTGTGAATCACTTTGTTTAGGTAACAACCAACAAAGATTCGACCCACTTGATGAAGACAAACATGGATCATGATTTTGATCATCGTCTTCTTGTAGAAAACTCGATCTCCCCGACCACGAACCTCGTGACCCACTTGACGGGCCGAGACCAAGGTCCAACCCACGAACCGTATCGAGCTGATACACCCAAGAATCAGACCCGTGTCCCGAAAAAGACAAATTCTTATTTACTTCTCGTTGTTGTTGTTGTTGTGGGTGCAACAAGTTGAGTTTAGCTTCGTGTCCGTAAAGTTTCTTAGCGGCTTCATCGTAAGCCATGGCGGCTTCCACTGAGGTGTTAAACGTGCCGAGCCAGAGACGGGTCCCACGGTTAGGCTCACGGATCTCAGCGACCCATTTACCCCAAGTCCGCTGCCTAACTCCACGGAATGTACACGTGGCGTTCTCTGGACCGCCTTTACCTTTCATACAACCTTTTCTAGATCTTCCCATGTTTCGTTTCTTAGCCGGAGGTTGCTCTTCTTCCATGGCGTTCCTTTGAGAGTTGGGTATGAAGTTGTTTTTTAACTAAATTTGTAGAGTATAGAGACTGAAATGGAAATTGAAGCGTACGTTTATATATATTCGTGGACACGTCATGAGTATACGTATTCTTACGTGGCATGTGTATGAATGTGTACGTGTGTATAGATGTATACTAAGGAATCTCGTTTGTTTATTCAATGTCTGTGTTCCACGAAAGCGACCCCCGACCACTGTTTTGATGATGACTCACGTGTTTCTCTCTAAGACTCTCTAACCTTCTCCTGAAAATCGAAAAAATTAAAACCTTTTCAATAGATAAAGACATTTCTTCACTTAAAAGACATTTAGATATAGTATAACATACCTCTATTTCCAATATCTATATACTTCATTTAGAAATTGGTATCGATAAGATAATGTATTGTGATCATTTTTCACATAACTCTCTATAATAGTAAAATTGTAATAGTACATTTGAAATACAAATTTAAGAGTGTCGTAGTTAAGTGTATAATTTGTATTCTTATAATGTATTATAGTAACTGATAAGTTTTATTATATATATATATATATATAGATTTGTGTAGTTCTAGTTCTCTTGGAAGTTAATCTAAAAATTTCGAACATATTATTGTGTCGGATGTTAAGAAGATTCTTGTATCTTGTATAGTTATTTTTCAACTGACTACCATGTTTTTGTTAGTTTAACATTACTACACAAAGGTGAACAAAAACACTGTATATCTATTTGGGTCGACTCATATCCTTCTTACTATTTTATATTTTCGTAAACTGATGACTCTGGAATTTTCCGTTTTTCTTAGGTTATAAGTTACGTTTGCTTCCAACAGTATGTCCCCCGGTTTGTTCTGGATATATAGGAAACAAATAACATTTTAGATAAATGAACAAATATAACGGACAAAGTATATAAGTCTACGTACATGAGAAAATGGATTATGTCATAGTTGTATACCACGTGTCACAATGAAGGACGGCCTGGCAAACGTAGGAACACATGGCTCAACCGTTGATTAGGTGCTTCGACTCGAAGTACCTCTTTTTCTACCACTACTTATTAAATCCTCTATTTTTGTTTTCGCTTATTAAATCCTCTCTTTTCCTTGTTGACAAAGAAAAGGTCATCTTATTTTCTCAACATATTCACAGTTTTCTGGAAAGACTTGCTTAGGATATTACCACATGTTACATGTAGACGATTCAAATGTGACAGTAATTGACATTCTTCTGTATTAACTGAATAGTCTAATGTTTATAACTGGTTGTTGGAATCGGATAATTGATAAAATATACTTTTTTTCAACTCTGGATTGAATCGGTTATCAGGTTCCGTATAAATTTGTCAAATTTTAACCAACAAAAAAATGTACCTTCTATTTACCAATAGGCCTTTTTTTTGATAAAAACATTTAGCAATAGGCCAAATTATATAAATTCGTTGTAATATAAATCTTCTTGTAAAACTACTACAATCTGTCTCGGGCGTAAACTGCATGAGGAAGAACAAGTGTGAGATAGTAAGACGTGAATCCGAGGATGAGTGTCACTCTTACATCGTTGGAAGTACGACACTTGTCTTCTTCTCCCCTACTTCTTGGAACTGATCTCCTCATCTGGAAAGGGAAACCTTAACTTCTGGAACGTTCTACATTCTACGTACTTTCTATATTTTATATTAAATAATATTTTAACTGGGAAAAAAGTTGTTTTACTTCAAATGATGTTTCAAGTTTCAATGCAAAAATAATTAATTTCTGTTTGTGACTATTTACACTATTTAGGTTATTTAGCAGTAAAATTATTTTTAGAAAAGTAATAAACAATATTTTATCCACATAGACTGATTTGCTTTCAAGTTATCGAAACCATACACAGTTTAAACCATCCCATTGAATATTTCGATATCCCTAGACCCTAGTCAAGTGAATGTTGATATTTAGATTGAATGATCAACTCTGCAATCAGCTCTACCGCTAACGGAGCTACTCGAGAAAAATGATTTGTTTTGTTTGGGCTCCAAGCCTCCAAACGAGTCGGTATTGCTTTGCTTGGGATTTATATTTTGTGTTGGGTCTCAATTTGCGTTTTTGGCCCAAAGTTTGCTATGTTTGAAAGTCCTTCATTTTCCACTCCTCTAATAGTCTAATGTTTTGTTGCATTCTATTCTCAGGTGACCAGTTTGTTAAAAACTATTGTTGTAGACTTGTAGTTAAGAACCTGAATCTGGTGAGGTACTAGGAAGGTTCATTCTAGTTAAGAAGTATTCAACTAGTACAGTATTACGAAGCAGAAGCATCTAAAGTTGGGATTTGAGCAAAGTCCGAATAACAAACCATTATAATAATAACCATTTTTACCATCGGATGAAGATATATATAAGCGTTACTCATTTAGTTTAGTCTTATTTAACCCAACAACCTTTCTTTGCGTATTTTATATGCAATATTTTTCTTACGTGATCCTTAACTCAAAAAAATCAGATAAACTCGAATCTGATAATTCTTTTCGAAATGGGTTCGAATCAAACTCGAACTGATGTTGACCCAGGTCCCATTCGACATACCTATAAATTTTACTAGATCGGCCATGGACCACTATATTAAAACCACTGTGATTTTCTATATATGTTGACTTCGACCTTATTACATGTATATGTATGTATATATGTATGTATATATGTGTGTGTATGTGATATGATAGCTTAGATAAAATGGTTTAGATTTCTTAAGCACAACTGATTCAAGAGAAAAATTGGTTATGTACCGAAAATTCAAAACGAATCTTCCACACAGATATATACATACATACTATAAATTATAAAATGAATAAAGGTTTTATACATAAATTTAGTTTTAACACAATGCCTGTGTTTGGAATGAAATGTGTATTGGATTGAATAACATATATATTTTCTTGGTCAACGAGATTGAATTATTATTAAGTTGCACAGAAACAAAAGGGAATATAAACTTAGTAAAATGACAAAATTTTAATGGAGTATTATAACTTTGAATTCAGTTGGTATGTTCACATAATTCATCAGTTGGAATTGGTTCAGACATCGCATTCAGAGTGTGTATTTATAGGGATATACGCAAAACAGTGATATTAAATCTATGTGTGTACGGGCACATGCAATTAAAAGATGCCACGTGAGACAAAGTACCAAATTTAAATGATGTAATTAAAAAAGCTGAATCGATTGAGAGACCCTCAAGCAAAGATATTGAATGTTCAAAGTGATTAGATTATTATTACAATCATGTGATTATAGTTCGATCTACCTCGTGAATACCCACCAGAACCTTAATTACTAGATCTTTGTAACAGAAGCAATGTGATCATATTTCACTTAGAGATCATATATAGCTAGCTAACTATCAATAGATAAACAGTTTTTGTTATTAACGTTTGGTATATAAATTCATATTAGTCGAATTTTACGGCGTAGAAATACAGTGCCAAAAAGACGTATACAAAAGTGTATGGGTATAACGTATATTTCTGAATATAAATTTCAGAGTTTAGAAAAATAAAAGGAAAAGAAAGAGTGACAGATGAAAACATTGAAGGAGTGTCATAAAAGGGAAGAAAGGTTTAGTTAGTTGGGTAGGTCTCTCTATTGTATTTATAGTTTTCTTTTGCATCTCTTTCATTTATTTCCATTAACTTTATTTCAATCAATATTGCTTTACTCTTTCTCTCACACACATGTATAAAATGAATATTTTCCTCCTTTTTTCATAAGAAAGAAAAGACAACAAATAAATCTCTGTATATAAAAACGAAACCGAGGCAGGGCAATGATGAATCTTGATTGGATCTTCTTCTCGAAAACCTCATTGCTTTCTCTTCTTCTCTTCCATTTCCATATTTACACTTCGTAATATCTCTCCACCCACTTCTCTTCTTCCCCATTTATAACACACAGAAAAATATATACACACTTATACATTTATATAAGTTGGGCTAGCTTTTGTAATTTTCTTTTAAACCTCTTTCCAGTTTCTAGAAATGGTCCTCCTCTCCTTCTCAACTTAATAAGAGTCTGTCCTCCTTTCAGTTTCCAATTTCTTCACTTTCTCGTTCTTTGCACACTGAATGTGATACATACAAGAAAAAAAGCTTTAAAAGATCGATCAATGGAGGTTATTGTTCTCGCGTCCAAGAGAAGTCTTCTTCTAGTTTTCCTTGTTATTGTCAGTCTGTTTCTGAGCCAGAAGGTTACACATGTCTCTGCCTTTAACCATACCAAGTCATACAGACAAGTCAGTAGCTTGAGGCTGAAGAGGATTCAAAAACACTTGAACAAGATCAACAAGCCTCCTGTCTTCACCATCGAGGTTACATATATTACACGTTTCAAATGCATTTGTATTTGAAATATCTGAAATTTATCGTTATGTGAAATGTGTAATTTTGTATAATAATTTACAGAGTCCAGATGGTGATGTAATTGATTGTGTACCCAAAAGAAGGCAGCCAGCTTTGGATCATCCTCTCTTAAAGCATCACAAGATTCAGGTATACAAGCAACTTTTCTTTTATTCGGTTAATGTGTGTATATATGACTTTGACAACAAAAACAAATATGTGTATCTATGTCTCTCGAATATTTAGCATTTTGGTCCTCCAAATTTTGTTTTTGTTTTTTAGCATTTGTCCATGCTCCAAATTAGGTGTAGAATTTTTATTTATTCGTAATTTCATCTATCTTAAATATTAGTAACATGATAAAATTTCAAATTTAATACTATTGATATTTGACTGTTACAACAACAAAAAATTGAATATTTAAAACATTTTACTTAGGTAGATTCAATTATGAAAATTAATGAAAAAATGTAAATAACTAAAAACTCGATGTTTGTGAATCCGAGTGTGACAAATTATAAAAGCATTGTTTTTCTTGACTTTTTAGTATAGTAGTATTTTCTTCCTTAGATGAATACAAAATAAGTCGTTTGATTATGATTAAAAGCCGTTTTTGATTATGATGATAAATAATGCAGAAAGCACCGACGAGAATGCCGAAGATGATGGGGAAAGAGAGAAGCGACGATGTTAAAGAAGCAGAGGCGAATGTATTGGAAGGTGCATGGCAAATGTGGCACGTGAACGGCACGTGGTGCCCTAAGGGTACTGTTCCAATACGACGCCACACAATGAAGGACGTGCTCCGAGCCAAGTCTCTCTTTGACTTTGGCAAGAAGCGCAAGAGCATTGACCTTCATCGACGCACAGAAACGCCTGAAACCCTCGGCAGCAATGGACACGAGGTACACTGGATTACAATCTCTCTTCTCTCTCCCTTGTGTGCCAAAAAACATTTTGCTTCAAAATGAGTAAATTTATTTCGTTTAACAATAGAAAGAAGTAAAATTTTAAAACTATAGTTTGCATATCTTATTGATACCTGAATATACGGTGTTTCTGTATATCAATATGAATGTGTATTGTAATCATTTAATTATGGACCCATTTAACAGTTTCCAATGTCAGTTTCATTAATTAGATTCATAAAATAGACAAAACATAAGCATTCATTGAGTTTTAAGATCCGGTCTCGATCGTTATCACAATTCTTGAGTCATACAACTACTTAGAAAAATAATAATACTCCCATATATTGGGACATATAACTGCACGGCCTAATTTCATTCGCAAATATAGGGATTACAGATATGATACACTAATCTCGAAGTAAAAGACTTGTTAGTAGTAAATATTTCAAAATTGTTGTCGAACTAAATCTAAACTGGTTGGTGACGTGGGGATGATAGCATGCGATCGCATATACGGAAACATCGTCGGAGATATACGGAGCAAAGGCGACGATAAACGTTTGGGACCCAAAGATAGAAGAAGCGAGTGAGTTTAGTCTCTCACAGATTTGGATTCTCTCTGGATCTTTCGTCGGTCCTGATCTCAATAGCATCGAAGCTGGCTGGCAGGTACTGTCTTTTTTTTTTACACTTCTATATAATAACTTTATTAATTTATCTATATATTTTGTTTCAAAAAAATATTCAATTTAATTATTAAGTATGTCTAAAGCTCTCATTATTTTCTACTAGTCAGGTCAGTCCGGAGCTATATGGTGACAATAGACCAAGATTGTTCACTTATTGGACGGTATGTTGTTGTTTTCTGTTTGTTATTTTTATATTGTGATGCAAAAGGTTGTTAGTATTTTAATTAGTTATAAATCAAGAGTCTAAACCTAATATTAATATGTATAAACTGGATATTAGAAGAAGATAGACTTTAATGTGTATTGCTTTAAAGGACATTCATGTGACAGTGGAGTAGTTTCTAGGTGTAGTTCAGTGTCTAGTTATGGTATATAGATTGTAACTTCAGAATTACCAAATATTGCTTTGAAGGCACACTTCCAATACTTTTCCTTTTTTTGTAGTTGTAGTTTCTTTTTCTGAAATATTAAGTATCACTAAAATCATCTAGAAATTCAGTGACATGTGCATAATATTATGAAAGGGTAAATTGAAGGGAAGTCAAACTCTAGAAAAAACAAAAAAAACAATTGCAGGTGATTTTTATTTGTAAGATTCTTACAGGCACTTTTTAATGTGTCGTATTGATCATTCTGAAGTTAAAGGTAGAAGAGAGAGTCATGATGATAATGTTTGGTATAGAGCATTTATTATTGCATTAACAGCATATCATTAATTGGATTGATACGAGCCCAATTGCTGTACTACTCTCCAAATCATTAAATATTGGTTCTGCCCAAAAGCTAGAAAAAAAGTTGAGATATCTACACATTTATATTGGTTGTAAAATTTTGAAAATATATGTTAAATTATTGGTACTTGTTCATTGCTTGTTGAAACATTAATTTCGTTGAACTTATCTTAAACTAATGATAATTTTGTATTGTTAGAGTGATTCATATCAAGGAACAGGATGCTATAATCTTATGTGTGCTGGATTTATCCAAACGAATAACAAGATTGCCATTGGAGCTGCCATTTCTCCCCTCTCTACGTTCAAAGGAAACCAATTCGATATCACCATTCTCATTTGGAAGGTTCGTATAACTTTTATATATTGTATAATACACATTATAATATATACTCCAAGTAAAATAATATTTAAATGATAAATTCAAATGCAAATGCAGGATCCGAAAATGGGGAATTGGTGGATGGGATTGGGTGACAACACACTAGTCGGGTATTGGCCATCCGAGATATTCACACACTTAGTGGACCACGCGACCACCGTGGAATGGGGCGGTGAGGTTGTGAACACACGTGCTGCAGGCAGGCACACGACGACCCAAATGGGGTCTGGTCATTTTCCGGACGAGGGGTTTGGAAAAGCGAGTTACTTCCGGAATCTAGAGATCGTGGATTCCGACAACAGTCTCGTACCGGTGCATGACGTCAAGATACTAGCCGAAAACACTGAATGTTACGACATTAAGAGTTCGTATAGTAATGAGTGGGGAACATATTTTTACTATGGTGGACCCGGGTTTAATCCTAGGTGTAATTGATATTAAAGTGTATATAGTTTGGCTCGGAGAGTTGAGAAAAAAGGGGGTTGAATGTGTAATTTTTTTTCAAGTACGGGTAGTGAAAATTGAATATTGGCATATTGTTTTTTCTTCTTCTTCATTTGTCGTTGTTGGTTATATGATATCTAAGTAATTTTATTGCATGCATAGGGAAAAGAAAAGTGTATGCAACACATTATAATATGAGACCAAAAAATCATTTGCTTTCTAAGGTTAATTCTGTATCTAAAATCGCCGTAAGAATAATATTCTCTCGCCTCTAGTTCAGAAAAAGATAAATGTAACAAAAAATGCAATAGAATTGTAACGCAAGACGAATAGAGAGCCAATGTGGAGTAGTTGGCTGAGTTCAAACTTCAAAATATACAAATCTTTTTAAGTTATTTACATAGCGGATCACAGAAACCAAAAAGTTTGTGATCCAATGTACTTGATCTTATAAATATATATAAAGACTTATAATGGGAACAAAAAAAACCCGTTCATTTTGGAGCGATCATATGATTATTTGATGACAGATGTATGAATCGAAATAATTCATTATATTATATTGAGAACCTAAAAGGACATAGAAGAGGAAAAATCACGGAAATTAATAAAACAAGTTTGTGTGGGACTTTGGGAGAGTACAACATACGTCGAAATACGAAGACTTGGAAAATTACTCCCCCAAAGTCGTTGATGCTTGGAATTAGAGATCAACTATTATCATCTTTAAACACTTTAATTAATTAATCATCAGCCACCCACGACGCATTTCCACTTTCCACACCAACTACATTAATTAACTACTTAGCTGACCAAAGCACAAAGATATGACCTCAATCTACCCAATATCTGGTCCGAGATTGAAACTTCAGCGTATGAGAGAGACTTTAATAGAACACTTTGTAAGAAATTTCTTTGCTAGTCTCCATCACATTATTTAAAGCAAACGAGATCTGTTATGTTACCACTTACAAGCAGAGACCAAAAGACTCTTCTCCATCACATATTAAAAGTTTCACAAAGGTCACAGAAAGATTTGAGAGTTTGAAAAGGGACAAAACGTGCTATAAATCTCTCTTGTGAGAGAGAGCTTTAGAGTGAAAACTAGTCAAACAATATAATGGCTCTTTCACCCATTCTCGTTCCTCTCATTCTCATTCTCATGCCGAGTTTTCTCGGGTCGGTTTTCGCCATTGCACCACTCAAAACCGATACGTTGAAACCAGGGCAGGAGCTCAGAGACTGGGAGCAGTTAGTATCCGCAGGAGGCATCTTCACTCTCGGTTTCTTTACACCTACAGACACAGAATCATCTACCTTCACGTCCTTCACACTCGGTTCAGCTGGTCTTAGATATATTGGTATCTGGTCTGAAAGCAGTTCATTCAATCCAGTTTGGGTGGGTAACCCAACCGAACCAGTTTCTGATTCATCCGGTTCTCTATCCGTTGATACCAATGGGGTTCTCAAGATCACACAGGCAAATGCTTCTCCAATCATGGTAAACCAAAAACCGGTCGAGCAGCTCTCGTTGGCCGGAAATTTCTCTGCCACTTTACTCGATTCCGGGAACTTCGTGATCCGAGATATCGGACGAGGAGGAGGATTCTCCGGTCGGGTTCTCTGGCAAAGCTTTGACCATCCCACCAATGTATTACTTCCCGGGATGAAGATTGGGTTTAATCTAAAAACCAAGAAAGAAGTTGCGGTTACTTCTTGGAAAAGCAACCAAGATCCATCCTCGGGAGCATTCAGACTAGGACTAGACCCGTCAGGAGCTAACCAGCTACTCGTCTGGCGCCACCATGAAATCTACTGGTCCAGCGGGATTCTGACGAACAACGGAAGCTCTCAACTAACCTTAGAGCTATCCAGACGCTACATTAATTATGAGTTCACGTTCGCTTCAGACAAGTACATGAAGTACTTCAGTTACTCAGTCAAGAAAACTAATGCTACCGTCTTCTCCAGCTGGTCCTTGGATACTCTAGGCCAAATCACTGTAACCAACCTCTTCAGGAGCAACACAAGCAGCACCTGGATGTCTGAAGGCAGTGCACCTTGCGAGAAGGATTTAAAGAACAGTGAAGCAGTCTGCATCACGGAGAAGCCAACGGCTTGTAGAAAAGGATCCGAGTATTTCGAACCGAGAAGAGGATACATGACGAACAATGCTTATTATGATGATAGTTTAACCTCTGGCCTAAGTGACTGCCATGGAAGCTGCTGGAGAAACTGTTCTTGCATAGCTTTCCGAAGCTTTTCCAACGGACGATGCCGATATTGGGGAAACGGGTCAAAGTTTCTCCCTTATGATAGCTTCACCTTCAACCCAAAAATCTATGTTCTTGATTCTGAAAAGTGATGTGTGGCTGTAACTTGTAAGAGTGATTATGTAAACCAGACAAAATATCAATAAAGGGGCTTTAATAACTTATATCAAGAAACTAAAGAATCAAGAAGTTCAAAGACATGCAATAGCTTCCTCTCTTTGCATATTGATTCAACCACAGCTCCCCAACACTCAGGCTCTGGTTTGAAACCTATCCCCATAAACCCAGTCATAACTCGAACCCCGATCTCTGCCTTCCCGGATCCACAAAGCCGAACCACCAGCTCGTTCCAAGTCGCATGGTGTGGCCAAACCCCTTTCTTCGACATCAAACTCAGAAACTTCACCGCTTCCCCAAGCTCACCGTTCTTCATCAACGCATTTAGCACAATCCTGTAACTACCTTTGTTCAGATGAACTCCTTCACATCCCCATTGACTCAGCATCTCAAGAGCTTCTTCTACTCTTCCTTCACTGGACAATCCCCTGAGTATCACATTGTAAGTCAATGCATCAGCTCTGCATCCTGATGCTTTCATCTCTCCCAGTAACTCCATAGCCTCATCGACTTGACCATTTCTACAGAAGCAATTCATCAATGTGGTATAACCAACAGTGTCGAGTCTCAAACCCATTTCCTTCACCTCCTCAAAGACTTCTTTAGCTTCCTGAGTCTTCCCTTCTTTACAAAACCCATTCATCAGAGCAGAGTAATTGTACACATTTGGATTGCATCCATTCTTCTTCATAAACTCAACAATCATCTTGCCTCTCTCAGCTTCCCCGGAACGACAGAATCCGTTAATCATAACATTGAAAGTCACTGGATCCGGAGAAATCCCTTCTCTCGAGATCATATTCTCAAACAATGCCATAGCTTCTTTGGACTTAGACTGTGCAAACAAACACTCCATCAAAGTCGAGTAAGTGATCAAATTGGGATACGAAATTTCACATCTTTTCATCTCCTCAACCACTCGAAACGCAGAATCAACATCCCCAATCCTGCAGTGATGCTTCACGAGAATATTGAAGATGCAAGTATTCGGCTGCAATCCAAGATGCTGTTTCGCATACAAGAGGAGTCTCCGAACGGAATCGACCTCCCCTGAATCGACGAGGAGGTTGAGGCAAGTGCTAATGGCGTTGAGAGAAGGCTTCACGCGAGCAATCACTTGGATCAACTGAAACATCTCCATCACTTTCTCGTGCAAATCGAATCTGGAGAAGTGTTTCATTAGGTTGAGGAACACACCTTCCTGGAATTTGCAAGTCTCGTACTTCATCTGGTGGAGAATCGCGTCAACGGCTTGAAACTTCTTGTGCCTGACGAGGTTATCTAAGAGAACAGAGTATGTGGCGCTGTTATGGTTGAACCCTTTCTGCTGAGACGCTTTGTTGAACAGATCAAGCGCGCGCTGAGGATCTCTCTCGCGTTTGATCAGATTGACTGCAGATTCGTGAGAGATGAACTTGGTTTTGGGGTTTAATTCCACAGGTGAGATCGAGGAATCTGGTGGTGGGTCTGGTTTCTTCTTCTGTGAAAAGCAAATGGGAGATACCCATAACCGTGACGACGATGTAAATCGGCGATGTTTATCGATAATCGAAGTTGTGATGCGCATTGTATCGCCAGTAATCGGGAGAATCGACCGACGACTGTGAATCAGGTTAGGAAAGAAGAAGAAAAGCTCTCAGAAATCTCCCAGTGAAAGAGAGAAGAGGAATGGGAAGACGACGATAATGAAAACCCGGTTCGGTTGAATAGAAATTAGATCTCGAAATTACGTACAGTTCGGTTCATAATTAATTCGCCGGTTCGGTTCATAATGGAATCAATTGCTCAAGACTGGAGAGTGAGAGCGGTTCTGTGTAATCTAAACAAGATTACCCATTTTGTATGGGATTTGTTCATGATTCCTTAACTTGTTATTTGCTCCACAGTAATCTGCACACTCGACTACTAGATGGTACTTTTATTTTGTGGCAACAGAGGAATGTGATTGCACTAGATTTCAGAAGAATCACAAAGACATACATATATGATTTATCTTCAGGTGAAGTTACTTAAAACATTCGGAAAGAAAAAAGTCAGATGAATTGGATGTCGCACTTTGACGAAACTCTGGGTAGATTCAGCAGGTTAGCTCGCAAGAACTTCCTCTGGTGGTACTTGTCCGCGGCAACACCAACTTTCACAGTTTCAAGACATGCCAACTTGTCCAAGAAATGTATCATCTGTTTCATCTCTTGAAAAGAACCTCCATACTCATAAACCTCTACCACCTTCACTTGACATGTCCATAAACAACTTAAATCCTCCTCCTTCTTCTTAGGGACGCAAGCGCATGCATCTCCACATCTATTTGTTACTCTATGCACAAGACCCTGAAATCAAATCATGGAACCATTTGATGTGTATAATGGGTTACACACTTACACTAACAACAAAAAGAGTCTCCATAAGGAAATTGATTTACCTTGATGACTAAAGTGTGTAGATTTGGACAACTCTTGAGCAGAAGTGGCATTACTTGCCAACCTTTTTCCTTGTTACTCTCAATAGATAAATTAAGGAGGTTGTTGAACACCGGCATAGATTCGCAACAGAAATGGAAAGCCTGAGGGGAGAGACCATGTTAGCTAGCAGTAGAGTGATTCTAATCCTCCACAAACAAATCAATAGGAAAAAAAAAGAAGAAATAGCAAAATCTGACCTCAAGGGAATCGGGAGACAAGTGAAGGGTCGTAATGCTGGTTATACCTGCAACTAGATTTGTAACGTCACCATATATAGGTGGAGGTGGAGCTGGATTTGGTTGCTCATCATCAGAAGAAGCATAACCACCGTCGATATCCATATCGGTATCATCATCATCATAAGTGTTAGTTGGCACCCATAACCTGAGACTCAGCCTGACATGGACAAGCGAATCCAGATCAACACAGGTGTAATCCCTGGAGACATAACCAGAATACTCAAGGTAGACAAGATTTGGTGCTTCGAAACAAGTTAAATCCTGATCCGCTGGACACGTGGGACGATTGAGATAAACCACAAGTCGCCTGATGGATTCACTTTCCAGGTCAAGGCCGCCACCTGAGGGATGCAAAGGATCATCACGTATGAATAAGTCTTCCAAGAGAGGGCAGCCATGGAGGAGACGATATAAGTTGGGGTAATCAAGACCGTAGAGAGATAAGAGGTCAAGTGATTTAAGCGCTGGGAAAAACACACCCTCCACTTCAAGAAAATAGTCACCGGAGAGTGTGAGCTTAACCAGTGTCTTGCTCGTTAACAACTCCGTCTCTATATATAAACCGGAACAGGGGCCGGCGTGCAGGTGTAGCTCCAATAAACCGCGTTCAAAAGCAGTCTGAATCCAACGGCTGACACAACGGCTCACACGATCGAATTCATACTCGCCATATTTATATTTATGTACACGAGACAGAGAGAACTTCTTGATGCGAGAGTTGCTTAACAGATCGGCGAATGTCTTGTCTACGAAATCTAAGAAGCGGTGTGTCCCACTTGCTGCTTCTTCTTCGTTTGGATACACAACCATCGATTCATCGAAAGAAAGGCTGTCTACAAGACCCATCAGATTCTTCCACCTCTTGGACAGAATCGATGTCGATGCAGCCACTTTTGTCGGAAGCAAAGACATGATTTTGCCAAGAATCTCATCTGGCAAACTACTAATCCAATCTCTAGGAGAACTCATATTAAACACGCAATCAAACAAACTCCAACAATACAAGCCTTCGAATCTATAAACGGAACCCAATTTCAAAGCTGGTCCTTTCAATCGAATTTTTCCACTAGACAACCAAACTTACGACGCTAGAGGAGACGAGGAAGATCGGAAAGCGATGGAATTTGAGAGACGGAAAAAGAGAGAGGGCAGAGCTTATAATGACTAAAATTAAAAGGAAAAATACCAAAATTCAAGTTTAATGTTTCTCCTTTTTTATTTTCAACTTTCATGGTTGATTTGGACTTCGGGTTTCACTTCGGTTTCGGTTCGGGATTGGGTGGGATTTTTAGATTTCAGGTTTAGATATATAGAAACCGTGCATGTGTTTAAAGTTTCGGTTCAGATTTAATGTGAGTTTTTTCGGATTCGGTCCAGGTTTTCGGGTTGTTTTTTTTCTGTAATCAGATTTTTCAAGTTTGAGAAATAAAAGTTCGGGTTTTTTTGTAATCTTGGGTTGGATTTCGGGTAAAAGTCCCACAAAGTTTTTCAGATTTTGGGTTTTGATTCAAGTTTTGGATCAGGTTTCAGGTCTGGTTTTCGGTTCGGTTTCAGGTCATGTTTTTCGGATTTTCGAATTTAGAGATATAGACACTATTCGAGTTTTAAAAATTTCGGTTCGGATTCAGTTCAAGTTTTTTTCGGGTTAAAATATAAAGCCATTCTTTTTTAAAAAAAAAAGTTGGTTCAAATTTTTGGGGTCAAGTTTAAGTGTTCGAATTTCATGTAAAAGTCCCAAGCCTAGCTATGGGTTTCAGTCTCTATGATACTGACCAGCGTTGGGTCACATATATTACTTCTTGTGGGGATTCTATGAAACTTACATTGACGGATTCTAGTACATTTCTCTGAATCAGTATTGACCAAAACAAATTTTCACTCTTTAGCTTTTTTTGGAACAATAAACTTTAAAAGACAGAAAATGGCACCTATTATACTAACATAGCTGGCTACTGAGAGCTTTAATCGCCTTCTCACATTCTGTTATGAACTGACCTCAATAACCTCCGATACAATGTTTCTCTCTACAAATTTCTTGATAATCCTTTACAAAATATCTCAAACTCTATTTATATTGTAAAAGTAAAGCAACAGCAAAGCCTCTCTCAATAGAGTCTTTGCTCAAACGTGTTCCACGTCATCAGACGTTGCCTCCAAACCTCTTCTTCTCTCTACAAAATATCTCAGACTCTATTTATATTGTAAAAGTAAAGCAACTGCAAAAACTCTCTCAATAGAGTCTTTGCTCAAACTTGATCCACGTCATCAGACGTTGCCTCCAAACCTCCGTTCGATTCCTTCTTCTTCCTTGAGTAAACTCTCCAAAGTTTTCCTTCCGAGCTTACCAAGAGCCTTCTTGTCCTTGCCGCTGTCCTTTTGGTGCTTCTGCTTAGTGTCCTGACCTGTGCAAAACAACAACGAACATGATAAGCAGTTAGCACCAACATTACAGTGAAGCAAAAGCGATCCCTTAATGTTTGATACTAGATATGTATCAATTCTGAGACATGCTATTGATTATGATTTGTTAAGAATATCTCTGGCGATTGACACTAACTTGCATCTGTGGTCAAAGGGTAACTTACCAAGAGCCTTGTTGTCCTTGCCGATGTCCTTTTGGTGCTTCTTCTTAGTCAACTTGCTGAAGTAATCTATGACCCTGTTCCCTACAACAAAGCCCTGACCTGTGCAGACAATATAAGCAGTTAGCACCAACGACATCACAAAAGCAATCACTCAATGCTAGATACTAGATATGTAACAAAAATCTGACACAGAAGCAATCACTCAATGCTAGATACTAGATATGTAAAAAAATCTGACACATGCTATTGATTAAGATAATCTCTCGCAGTGTTATATTGAGCACCATCTAGTACAGGAACATGCATATGTGGTCAAATAATGGTAACAGGTAATTTACCTCCCAAGTGACCGGTTGCAATGGATGTACAGATGTTCTTCCCACTCTTTTTAACCACAATAGAGCTTGAGGTTGCAATGGAGCTACAGATGTTCTTCCCACTCTTTTTACCCACAATACCAGAGCTTGAGGAGGGAGTATTGCTGTCTTTAGGTGGATTTTTGTTGCTTCTGTTAGTTTTAACCTTCGGTTCTGGAGCTGCTGCTTCTTGGCCACGTGTAAGGCAATAGAGAGATCGACCTTGGCATTGGTAGAGTCTAAGTCGCCATTCATCATCATCATCATCAACACCAAGCAACCTGAAATAGGTTAGGAAGATTGGTGGGTGCTCAAGCTCCTCTATGTGTAGACTTTGCCTGGGATCGATCTTCCATTTGATACCAGTACTGACACCAGCAGCATCCTTCATCGTTTGATACCTTGCTGGAGGGCTTTTGATGAATAGCCATTCTTGAGAGTTCTCAGGAATTATAGGTAGATTCCATGGCAGTGTGGTGAACACGTTTTCAACAGCTTCTAGGTCTGGCACACCAGTTGCAGCACCTCTACATATGTTGAGGAGACATATGGCACAGGTAGTGTTACGATCAACAAAGCGATCAAAACAGTGGAAAGAACTTATCATTTGTGAAAACAGTGCCGCTAGATCTGCATGCCCCGGACAACAATGTGCAGAATTCGGAGAGATTCGAAGCTGACATCCCAGAAGAGCACAGGTTTGTAGATAACGCCTTACAGATCTGAGCTTACAAGGAATGAGAGGATCCACAGCTAGATTTTGCACCTCCGCCGCATTGACCTCTGCATCTTCTAGATCCACCACATTGTCGCCGCCATCTAGAACCACCGCATTTTCGTCGCCGCCATCTTGAACCACCGCATCGTCGTCGGCGCCGCCATCTAGAACCACTGCATTTTCGTCGTTCTGTTTGAGAAAAAAAAAAAAAAACACAATGAGATCAAAATAGGCCCAAACTGAAAGAATACAGAGGCCCTAAACGCATCGTTTATGGCACTCGCGACATTTGAGCGCTAAAATCGAGCCATAAAACTTCTTCTCCTCCTAAGTCTGAAATTCAATCTAACGACCAGCGAGCGATTCGATTCTCTTCCCCAACCCTAATTCATCGTTATTTTCTGAGAATCGGGAATTCAACAACAACTAGCACTACTCGCTATCAATCGCGGTTTCTGCGGACATTGTAGCGCTAAAATCGAGCCATAAAACTACTCCTCACTAGCGATTTCTCTTCTCTAAGCTTTAATTCATCGTTATTTTCCGAGAATCGGGAATTCAACAACAAATAGTACTACTCACATGTCCAGCAGGCTCGGGATCTTGAAGAACTTGCAGATCCTGAACACGTCTTCTCTTCTTCAAAGGAAGATCCTCCATGATTTGCTGTGGATTTGTTCGACGAAGGAGAGAGGAGAGAAAACGCGTTTGTTCGACGAAGGGGAGAGAGAGAATGATGATTTAAATTGCCTAGGAGAAGTAGAGAGAGAGAGAGAGAGAGAGAGAATTTCTGTAGAATGGAGGAGTATTTAAAGAGAAATTGTGGAGGAGTAGCGAGTGGCGGCAGGAGGGGTTTTTTGATTTTTGGTGGTTTCTCTGACACTGACGTGGCGTGGCATGGAAGAATTGATCTGATTGACTATCTTAATTATTCTTCAGTTTCTGCCTTATGAAAATTGTTTGGGAAACGATTAAACACAAGACAATGTGAGATTCTATTCGTCCTTTTAACATTATCATTGTCATATTCTCGGTAGTTTGTTAGATGGTGGCTTCTATTATCTTACTTCTCAGTATCTTGGAGTTGATGGCTTATCCTTTGGGGATTATACAGGGGAAATCTAGTTAGAAATGTGCAAACAATGTAACTGCCGTTAGCTCCATGCTCTTAAATCTTGTTAATTTCTGCGTTTTGAAACTGCTCCAACATGTCTCTGTTGTATCTGTTACATGAGACATCACTGCAACACTGACGAAACAAACAGAAGATAAAGCTCAAGGAAAGGAGAACGCGTAGACCACAATACAGACCTCAACGCAACTGCTATGTCCTATCTCTCTGGACTGCCATTTTGCCGTATTACTTGGCATGACTTGTTTATGCCATTGCAATGTTTCAAAGGCTGATACATACAAGTAATGTCCCTGTTTTCCAGAAAATCTTATGGATTCTCATATTGTTTTTTCAATTTCTGCATCCTGAAACTGATCTGCAATGTCACTATATTCCAGTATCTCAAGAAAAGACATTTCCCAACAACACAGTTCAGCCATTGATGGATCATAATGGCTTTGGAAACAATTCAACACGAGAGAAAGTAAAAATGGGCTTTTCTTTTCAGTATTTATAGAAAAATATGTACAAAGAATTGGTGTTGGTGATTCTTAATAAGAGTTGGTGTTCAAAGAATCTGATCATGTTTAAGCACAAATGGGCTTTTCAGTATTCATAAAAAAATATGTACAAATGTCAGCAAAGAGTGGAGACAAGCGAAACATGATGACAAAGAAAGAACAAGGCTACAAAGCTATAACAATGCAAAACAGAACTACAAAAACTCAGATAATATGATGTGGGTTTCTGAAAGTTACAATGGTGACCACTTTTCTGCGTTATGTTGTTGTGTCAGCACAGGAAACATATGGACTTCGATCTCGATGTCTCGCCACGATCTTCTAGACCTTTCAAGAACCATCTGATCGCAACGTGCTCTGAAGCATAAGTCATGAAGGCAGCTAGAACAATGGCTACACCCACCATTAGACCCAACCTGCTCAGTATGTAAGTAAGTCAGCAACTAAATTCAATCCTAGAGCGATGAAACAAGTCAAAATCCAAGAACCATTCCCAGCAAGCTCATCAAGAATATTACCTCACAAATAAAGCGGTGATGCCTAATACATAAGGCAAAGAAACTGCAGCAATAGCCAGAAAAACCATCCCCAATCCATAATACAATGTAGTAACGTCACAAGACACACCCGCCCGCTGGTGACCTGTTGAGACCAAAAACAAAAAGGATGTAATCCACATGTTTGTAGAGAATGGTCCAATTACCGAATATCTCAGCTCATTTCCATACCTTTTCCGGAATCATCCAAGGACGATGATTCTGTTTGAATTGCCATTCTCTTTCCATGCTGATGCACCAAAACCAAGAAGCAACCAAACAAAAGAAAGAAGATTGTAAACGTCCATTCATATACCAAGATCAAGCCAGTCCATGGCATGATTTGCCTTGGCACAATCACAAAGGAAGTTCCGAGGGATATTAGAACAGCGGTAAAACAGACTACAACTGAAACCGCGCCCAAGTGTTGAGGAACCTTGGAGTGTGCGCCGCCACTCTGGAGCTGTTAAACACCAAACAATAAGAACAACTGAAAAAATGTTCACTCTTAAACGCAACTATTTGATGATAAAACCCACCTGATAGCTGGGATTCATGGTCGACAATGTAGAAACACCGCTATAACCAAGTGTTCCGTTAGATCTAATTTTGTAATAAAGATATCTAATCTGATTGCATAGAGAGGTCCTGCACAACGAACCCTCATGACCCTGCGAGGAAAACAGCAGACAAATAATGAAAATTACAATCTAGAAAGTATGAATGTAGCGGAGGAGGTGAAGGAAGCAAAGAAGTATTTAACCTGAACGGATCTATAAATGCAGAACAAAAGCGCACACAGAGGTAACAAGAACAGAAGTTTGACAACAAATTCATCGTTCTGGTTTTTGCCACCTCCAGTTCCAGGAAGCGTTTCCTCAAGATTTACCCTAATGCTCTGAAAAGTGTTTGCGGTAAAATCAGATTTGGTGCAAATTTTAGTAGAAAGTAAACTTAAAAAAACCATAGAGAAGAAGAAGACCTACATGCCAGGCATCAACAGGTTTCACAAGCCACGCTGTCCACCAATCCCAAGGCTTAAGAGGGCCTAGAGTGTAGTGAATAACATGAAGCTTACTGTCATCCACCATCCACTGCACAAATGATGAGAAAACTTAAGATTCTCAATCAGAAATAATGAACAAGACAGATATACCTTAAACCGATTAAAACAATCCCAAATTACAGATCTTGTTATTTGTTTCCTAACCGAGGAAGACAAAAAATACCTTATTAGCAAGCATATAAAGACCAACATCCGCATTGTATAAAGTCGAAAGCCTCTCCATTTCAGGAACTGGTCTCGTTCTCAATGCTTCAGGGGTTAAACTAGGATCGAAAACACGAGCATTTGGGAAATCTGGATAATACGAATTCAGGAACCCTTGGTCTCCTCCGGTGTAAGAGGACAAAGTCTTCACTTTGCGCATCATGTCATTGAAAAGAGCTTCGGATGGTTCAACAACCATGACACCAGAGTTTAGCCTCTCGGAATGCTTCAGGTTTGCGCAAAACTTGGAGCACTTGAACAGATCCTCAATGTTCTTTACCACAATAGTATCAGCATCAAGATACACAACTGCAACAAACACAAAGCTTCTGAGATTTAAGTTCTCAAACAAAAGAATCCAAAGGAAAGAAAACATCAAAGACTTTACCTTTCTTGTAAGCTGTCATGTTAAAGATCTTGAGCTTTGTATAGACACCCCAGAACCTTGTCGGATGAACTTGGTTTGGATTTGCCAGTAAACTGATCTTCTCCACTTTCCATCCATCAGCCTGTAGAATCAAAATTCAAACACCTTTAGGCAAAGCAGTGAGCGGATTTGATCAAAACTTCAGAAAAGAGACAATATTTCAGCTCAAACTCGTTGTGGTTTCACTCAATCGAATAGGGAAGCTCTCAAACATGATTGTAAAAAAAGAGATTTTTCAAACCTTGAGTAGCTTCTTAGAGTAGTCTGAGACGCCATCAGAGACCAAAGCGACCATGTCTTTACTGGATCCAGTGTCACGAATCGATTTCCCCAATACTCTAACTCCCAATAAGAACTCATCTCCGTATAAAAGCGTCACATAAGCTTCCTTACTTGATTCAGATCCAAACGAACCCTTTAACTGAATCGAAACGAGCGCGATTGAGAACAGGAGAAACCAGAGATTCGCCTTAAGTCTCACCATAACCAATTCGGATCTAATCTAAACTTAAGGAAAGTATACGTTGAAAAATAGAGTTTTTGAAATTTCTTCGTTATTCTTTGGTTTTTGTTTTGCTCATTTGATGTTGTTGTATTGTTTCTCCGTCTGGACTTCTCTGTCTTTCCTTTCACCGCCGTCGTTTTAGACACCGGTAAAAGTTTTTATAACCTGCGACGAAGTCCACCAGAACATCTTCTAGATATCCAGAAAATAAAGACAAAAATGTTACGTAAACGATGTCGTTTCATGTAACCATAAGTCCCAGCCTAATGAAAACTTCACAACTTTGATCATTCAATGGTTTGTGTATTCTTTTTCAATGGTTTTACAGAATGAAAATGTGTATTGTTTCGTTTCATTATTTACAAATCGGATTATAAATTGATCATATCTCCTTTTTTTTTTTTTTTAACAACTGATCATACCTCTCTAATAACACATTATTACACCAAAACACTCAGCAAAAGCTTCACTGAAACAGAGGAGCTCTGTTTTTCACAAAGCCATCATCTTCACTCATCGCCCAAAACAGAGTTACAAAACCTTCCACCTCAACAAGAAGCTTTCTCAACACATTTCATCACCTTCCCAATTATCCTTCTCCTTAGGTCCCGTAGGACCTTCCTCACCATAAAGCGCAATAGGAAACAGATTCTCAATAGAATACCTCACAATCAGAGGAAGAAGATTCACAATCTTATCAATCTCCGCCGCAGAATCATACACTAAAGTCGGTCCCCACTCTCTCATATACTGCAGCCAACACGGCTCTGTAACCACTCCTTCCCCTAAATACTCCGCCGCAACGACTCTATACCTCCGACTAGAATCCACAACATACTCGCTCTTCGCGACGTCGTTTCTCACTCCGATCCCGAGCTTCGACGAGCCCTGTAGATACATCCCCGGGTGAGGGAAACTCGCGTGGCCGTGCTTCGACGAGTACACAACCGGTCTGTTGCTTCCTTTCACAAACTCGAGATCCGATGCGTCAACCCAACCGCCACCGCTGTGCTGCGAGAAGAACATCTGCGTAAGCTCGCCGTCGAAGTTGCTTATCCTGAAAGTGAAATGTTCCCAGTCACCGACATGCTCTCCGATCCTGTTCATTGGTACGGTGAGAAGCCCGATCTTAAGCGTCGCCGGACCGTTGAACGGACAGAATATCCACATGACGATGTCAGTGAAGATCCCTCCAAGAGCCGGTTTCACGTGGACGTAAAGCTCTGAGCTTTCTAGGTTTCCTTTCTTTACTTCCTCGTCGTCGTCTTGAGGGAGATCAATCCAGAACGTCCCGTCGTTTTCTCCACCAGCTGGCAGATTCGAACCGGTATAGTTAACCGGTTCGCCTTGTGGGATACCGAACCGGTACAGCAAAGCTCCGTTTTTGAAGAACCATGGCACGGAAGAAGGCATGTAAGTCTCTTCCGGGTGGAAGTAGACCGTTGGTCCGTAATGCTGAATAAGCGCATGGATCTGGTCGAGACTCGGCATCGCTCGTAGGCTCGGGTCGAGGTTTTTCAAGCAGGAAATGTTCATGGCGGCTTTGTTGTTATTAGTGGAGCAAAAGAATGATCCAACGGACACGCCACGTGACCAAATCCCTCTCTCGGATGGTTTAGTGGTCCAAACGTTGAAAGATCCGACGCCAAGAATTATTTGATCTGTTTCACAACTCTCTGTGAGATCCTCTCTTACACATCGAACTTCTTCTACTTCAGGCTGTTCTGATCCGTCTGTGACGATAACTCCCACGGCTTTGTAACCAGCTGGAGGATTTGGTAGCCAGAAGTTGCAATCTGAATCTGAGCTCCAGACTAGAGTGTAATCGACTGGTTTCTTCAGCGGAGGGAGATGATTGTCGGGGTCGTTAGCTCGAGCTGCGAGAACAAAGCCTTTTAATGGCTGATTGTTGTTTGGTTGGGAGTAATGACCAAGGCAATGGAAACCTTCTGGTATGTTCACGGGCTTGTAGAAAGAGGCGCGAGTGGATTTGCCACGACGCGAAGTGCCACATTTCCAAACTCTATCGAACTCGGTGACTTTCACTACTTGGATTTCTCCGAGGTTTATCCTTCCGGTTGCAAAATCTCTGCCTGAAACAGAGACGAAAATTCAAACCAAGAGCATTTTATAGCATAACATCAGGCAGATAAAAATTAGTAAGCATCTATAATAATGATATTCATAATGATAACTGAGTTGTCAGATTAATCATCATCATCAGCAAGCATTACTAAACTTTATCCAAGGGGTTGTTGGGGTTTGGTACATGAAGAATCAAAGAATCAAAACATAATATACCATATCTTTTCTTTCTTTTTTGGTATATTAATATGTATATGATGTAAGTCATGCATAATTGAAGTCACAAAACCTAACTTCTAGCAAAACATACAAAGATTAGGGAGAATGTAATTATCGCATAAAAGTCAGTTAATTATGTTGATGCATTCAGCTTTTTTCTTCAGTTTTGTTAAAGTTTCTAGTCCAATAACTTTGACCATGGAACAAAATCTTGAATCAAATGTCCAACAAAGAACCAGTCAGAAGTCAAAAAGAAACTGAATTAAGCCATAAACTGAACATTATGAAGATATGGAAAAGTTAAGACATCAACTTGAACTTCATGTATGACCACCAATCAAAATCAATTTTTCGATGAGCCACAAACTAACTCAATCATTTTTCATTTATACAGTAAATGATTTTTGTTACATAAAAATAAAACTGAAGTAATGTAAAGAGCATCATGCCCACTTGGATCATTGATGCAATACGTGGCGTAATTTGATTGATTCCTAGTTGAAGAGCGAAAGGCCAAAATATCCAAATCACACAAATAGAAAATAGAAACCCAAAGTAGTTTGAGGACAAAATTCTGCAAACTTTGATAAAAGCAAAACTGCAATTTCCAATAAAGGATAGTTCTTTACCTTGTGGCCATCGAGGAAGAGGAGCCGGAAGCGAGAAGGGCTCTGACTCGGACGATTCCGATTCCAACTCGGAGATTCCTTTGTTCCAATAGAAGCAATCGCAAAACATCGTACGGAGATATAATTCGAGGAGAAGCCCACAAAAAATAAAACCCAACGAGTTTGATCTCAAGAGTTCGAGACTAAAGATTCTCTGATTTTGCCTAAATCAAGGACAAATCGACAATTGTTATTGTTACTCCGGAGACTGAAGAAAAACTCTCTCGCTTACTTCAGGAGAGCTTTACAGATCGGAAAATTCTAAAATCAGAGATTCTCCTTCCGAGACTTCACGGCGAGGAGAGAGAAAGAGAGAGAGAGAAATGAGAGAGGCGTTGAAGCGTACTTGCGTAAAAGGGAGGGAAGTTTAGTGGTGGCTTTGGCCTTTTATTTTTCGTGCTTTTCTTCCTTTTACAGAATTTACATTTTGCCCCTCTTTCTTCGTAAGTTTTCTATAAATGCCCATGTATTTGCAAATAATTCAAAAATCGCACCCAATAAAACCAAATGTAAGGAAATTAGTCGTTTCTTTCAACCAAATCGAAAGAAAAGAATTGCGTACAAGTTTGACATATAAGTGCAAGCAGGTGTGCATTCTATTTGTATGTAATACTTTTGAATTTATTTTCTTTCGTCACAATGTCTTTTGGCAAGTATCACACCGTCGTTTTCTATAAGCAACAAAACTCGGATTAATCTCTTACATATCAAATATCATATACATTTTACAATAACAAAACACTACAAAAATTACTAAAGAAAATATTTATAATTTTGACGAATGAAACGAATCATAAATCCCTAAATATCAACACCAACAATTATTTTTTTTCCCTACCATGTATCATTCAAGTAAATTTGGCATCAACTTGGTTACTCAACATTATCGGAAAAACATCCCATTCTCATTATGAAAACTTAAATGTCATCTTCATCAACTAGTCATGGAGAATATCATTTTGAAAATTCTTCAACATGAAACGAGCCGCCCAACTAGACCGGGCATTCAGGTGGGACTTTATGAGTTTGATTATATTAATCCGGATGTTAATTGTTCATAACTAAATATGATGATATTGTAATTGTTGACAAAAAGATAGTATATGATGGTACTTTTGAATTTGATATATCAAATTAGGTATCAGCTTAATGAAGTAACATTCATACTATTCACATGCGCATTAAAGTTAAAACTATTAGGTATATGTTTCGTTATAAATGTTGTCTTCCAATTTTCACGTAAATTAAAATACCATTAATAATTTATACATTAGATTTTTGTCTTTCTGGTTATCTTAAAACGTCAGTGAGATAATTAGACGTTTTCCACATTGTCGAAGTATAAATGAAATTAATTAGACATTTATTTATAATCAGACAAAACCAAAAGTCACATTCCTTCAACAATTTAAGGACCAAAAAGAGTTCACATTATGTTATCAACGGGTTAAATGGGTTAGTTTGACTTCCAACAGTTACAGTCTGTCAGTTACAACTTCGAAGCAAAGTAACTTTGTTTGGTTTTTTACTTTTGAGTAATTTCTCTGCTCCTCAGTCCTCACAAAACCAAAAAAGTCTTCATCTTGTTCGTCTTTCGTCGGTCGTTACTTTTTGCAAGCTAATAAAAGCCAGAATTAATAATTGGATAATCTTATATTTTTATTTACTGTTTATTTTTTTTAATGATATTATATCTCTTTTCTGGAACACAGCTACAAAGTAAAGCTTCAATCTTTCCCACTGACAACATTTCTCTGGTCTTCGATCCTTTTTTTTTCTTTTAACTGCTTTGGTCTTGTCTGTAGGTTAGAGAGAGATCCCTACAAAGATCCAAAGCAGGAAACTTTCCAGTCAATGCTGCTTGAGATCTGACTTTTTTCCCTTCAATGTCGCTCTGAAATCCCCAAAAATTCGCCCATTCAGGTTGGTTCTCTCACACTTTAGAACCCTAGTTCTAATTGTGTAAGTTCTCGAGTTCAATTCTAGAGGTTTTTCCCCGGTCTTGTTTGATCTGTTAAGCCGTGTTTATCAGACAATGCGACGGATTTCTGACTTTTCTGATAGTTTCTATTGTCGGTAGCGAGTTTTCTTAGATTAGCTGCTGGATTTTTGTTCACCTGTAGCTTTCTTTCCAGCTTAATGTTTAGCTGGCGTTTGGTTGGTCTGAGAACTAATAATCTGGCAGCTGGCAATTCTTGGGACTTAGGTACAATGCTTCTTGTATGAATCTGATTTTTCTTAGTCTCCCTTTAGATTCTTTGTCTTTTTGCTTGCTCCTTTTCCATTTTTTGGACTCTAAAGAAAGAGAGAGAGATTGATTATGTGCATTTTCTTCGTGAGTAGCTCAAATCTGATGTGGTTCCGTTTTTGGTATAAGCTTTGAGTTTTGAACACTTTGATTCAGGTCAAGAACTCATTCTTGTTTCATCACCAGAAGTTATGGTTTGACAAAAGTATTGAGTGTTCTGTTCTTGTCTTTTTTTCAGGTGAATAAAGATGGGATCTGGTTTAAACGACACGCTATCTCGGAATTACAGTGGTTTAGAGCTATGGGAGATAATAGTGATTGCTCTCTCCGTGATTTTCGTTGTAGTTTTAGCTATGTCTCTATGGCTTACTTTCAGAAGAAAGAGAACTAGATCTTCTTCAAATCAAATCCCTGTGAGCCGCCAGATTCCTCCTAATGTTCCTGAAGAGATCAAAGAGATTAGAGTTGATGAGGTTTCGTCAAGCAATGGTGGTGGTGGTGGCAATGGATATCCCTCTATCAGTGAGAAGTTTGGAGATAAAGAGCCTGAGAAGGGATTAATCGCAGAGTCGGAGAATGGCGACAGTAGCCGGTCAGGCTCGTTTACTCACACGGAGAAGAAAGATGGATCGAGTGTGTCTTCTGCTAATCCTTTGACAGCTCCATCTCCATTGTCTGGTCTTCCAGAGTTTTCTCACTTAGGATGGGGGCATTGGTTCACTCTTAGAGATCTTCAGATGGCTACGAATCAGTTCTCGAGGGATAATATAATCGGTGATGGCGGTTATGGAGTTGTTTACCGTGGTAACCTTGTTAATGGTACTCCTGTTGCTGTCAAAAAGCTCCTCAACAATCTGTAAGTTTTTTTTCAGAAACTGTAAAGCAAGATTCAAGATTTTAAGTTTCATTACATAACTTGATGTTGTGTATTTCTAGAGGACAAGCTGACAAAGACTTCAGAGTAGAAGTGGAAGCTATAGGTCACGTTCGCCACAAGAACTTGGTCCGTCTTCTCGGATATTGCATGGAAGGAACGCAGAGGTATGTGTATGTTATGTTGTATAATGATATGTAGTTTTTTCTTCTGAATTTTTACTAAACATTTGGTTTTGAAAATTAGGATGCTGGTGTATGAGTATGTGAACAATGGAAACTTGGAGCAATGGCTTCGTGGAGACAATCAAAACCACGAGTATCTAACATGGGAGGCACGACTAAAAATTCTTATCGGAACAGCCAAAGCGTAAGTCTTGTGACGTCTTAATCTATTCTCAATATTGTTTGCTTGTATCCTCATCTAAGGCCATGATGCAGGCTTGCGTACCTTCATGAGGCGATAGAGCCAAAAGTGGTGCACAGAGACATAAAGTCTAGCAACATTCTGATTGATGACAAATTCAATTCTAAGATTTCTGACTTTGGACTTGCGAAGCTGCTTGGCGCTGATAAGAGCTTTATAACTACTAGAGTTATGGGTACCTTTGGGTGAGTTGTAGTTGTGGCCTCTCTCATTACTACACTTTTCAGACTTCAATATTGTTGCTCTTGGGAAGTAACTAACTAACTAACTACTTTTTTTCATAATCAGTTATGTAGCTCCAGAGTATGCGAATTCGGGGCTTTTGAATGAGAAAAGCGATGTCTACAGCTTCGGAGTTGTGCTCTTGGAAGCTATAACTGGTAGATATCCAGTTGACTATGCTCGTCCACCACCTGAGGTAAAACATTTTTATTAAGAAACCTTCAAAAAGACACATAAACTGTTGTTCTTATGTCATGAGTGTTCTCTGACATTTTGTTTTGGGTCATTTTGTAGGTACATTTGGTGGAATGGCTGAAGATGATGGTTCAGCAAAGACGATCAGAAGAAGTGGTTGACCCGAACCTCAACACAAAACCATCTACGAGTGCCTTAAAGAGAACACTCTTGACTGCTCTGAGATGTGTTGATCCAATGTCTGAGAAACGACCGAGGATGAGCCAAGTTGCTCGTATGCTCGAGTCCGAGGAATATCCAATTCCTAGAGAGGTATGAACAGAGGAAAAAAGATTATATCTGTTTTTTGTTGAGTTTGGTTTGTTGAAAAGCTTTACCAATATTTGTGAGAATTTCAGGATAGAAGAAGACGAAAGAGTCAGAACGGGGCAACAAGAGATTCAGATCCTCCTAGGAACAGCACAGACACTGACAAGAGTGAGTACCTTGACCTAAAGCCTGAAGCTGGATAGCATTGGAAACAAATCGAGGTGTACATTGTCGCTGAAGTTTCGAGCTTTGTGTGAAGCAAGAAGTCATTGTTTCTTCTCCAGATCTTCTGTGTTATGTGATATATCTTCTTTTTTCATTGGTAATAAGGAGACAGAGAGAGAGAGTGAGTGTTCATCGTTTGTTTTGGGAAAGATGGTTTAGTTTGCTTGTATAGTGTTTGTTCGTTTGTTTGTTGTATCATCTTTTGATTTTCTCTACGTTTTGCAATGTAGGTTGTTTTTGAACCAAGAAAACGCCACGTTTTGTAGGTTATGTTAAGTCCTTCAGAGAAACGACGTGTAGTTTGCAGTTTGCCTGTGGAAGATATTGATTGTTGTTATCTGAGACTGTCTCGTCTGATAAAGGTCAATTCTATTGCAAATCCTGATGTATTCCAATACGCAAATGGATAATTAATCTCATAATTTATTACGTATTCAGCAAATAATTGCAATCTTGATAATATGTAGACTTTGACAAGTCTAAGATAAAACCAATATTGACATTTGGATGAAATAAATGGAGATTTGTGAGCTTTTCCATATTCAATAAATGAATTGTTATCATATCATGATTAGCATTATTTTATGAGTTCTCTAATTACTTCACAAATTTTTAGGCTTTAGGTTATGGTTTTTCACTAACTGTACATAATTGTATAATTTAATTTACGTAGATCAAGGAAAAGAAAATAACAAATCATATATATGAAAAGAGGCCAACTCTCTCCACATTTTTGACATATGATAGTAAGTTTTTTTTTTTTGAATTGACCTTTCATTTTCCTTTACAGTTTAAAAGTTAATAAAATACGAATTTATTGGACGTGAAGATATATATAAGCCGTCTTTACAAATTCCGCTCTTTTTATCGTTTAATCCTTCGTAATCATAATATCAACATCTAACTCTGAATTGTCTCCTTTATATTCTTAAGATGGAACATGAAATATTAATAAGCATATTTATAAATATGGTACAATTTTTTTCGGATTTAGATATATTAGCACTGTGTTAACTAAATGTTGGGAATCAGAGTTTATTTCATGTGGTCATGAGTAAACATAGAGAGTTATGCATAAAATGGGTGGTATGATGCAAAAATATATATTTGAAATTCAGTCGCTAACCAAGTAAGTTGGAACTAAAACACGAGTTTTATTGTGTTAGAATTTATAATATTACATATCATATAAAAATATTATTTATAAATGTATAACTATTTTATAGTGTTTTTAAAAATTATAACAACAGAAAAACCCGCGCGTATACGCGGGCATTAGTCTAGTACATTTGATTCAGATCTAAGATAACTAAAGCTATAAAAAACGAAAATCAAACTCGCCGACTGTTATTCGATCCGACTTCACGACCTCCACAATGGCGAAAATGCCCCTCACCGTCGTCGTCTTCCTCCTCGCCGCTTTCCTCGCCGTGGTCCCGCCCTCTACGGCGGAGATCAAATCCCTGGTTATCTCCGATGACGCTCGTCCGATGATCCTCTTCGAGAAGTTCGGATTCACTCATACCGGCCACGTCACCGTCTCGGTCTCCTCCGTCTCCGTCGTCTCCACTTCCTCAGATCCGAATCCGGAGCCGTCGCGTCTCGGATTCTTCCTCCTCTCGGAAGAATCGCTCCTCCAGGTGCTCCTCGAGATCCAGCAGAACCCGAGATTCTGCGTCCTAGATTCGCACTACGTCACACATCTCTTCACCTTCAGAGATCTATCTCCTCCGCCGAATTCCCGATTCAACCAATCCTACCCGGTCACTTCCCCCAACGAGTACTCTCTCTTCTTCGCCAATTGCGTCCCCGAGACTAAGGTCTCCATGGCGGTTCGCACGGAGATGTACAACAAAGATCCCAACGGATCCAAGGACTATCTACCCGCCGGAGCCACCCAGCTACCGACTCTCTACTCCTTCTTCTTCCTCTGCTACGTCGCCTTCCTCGGCTTCTGGAGCTACATCTGCTGGAACAACAAGCCCACTGTTCACCGGATCCATCTCCTCATGGCAGGTCTGCTTCTAATCAAATCCCTGAATCTGATCTGTGCAGCTGAGGACAAGCACTACGTGAAGAGCACAGGGACGCCTCACGGCTGGGACATCCTCTTCTACATCTTCCAATTCATCCGCGTCGTTCTGCTCTTCACCGTGATCATCTTGATCGGAACTGGCTGGTCGTTTCTTAAGCCGTTTCTCCAGGAGAAGGAGAAGAACGTGTTGATCATCGTGATCCCGCTTCAGGTACTCGCCAACATTGCCTCGATTGTGATCGGTGAAACTGGACCGTTCATCAAGGATTGGGTGACGTGGAACCAAGTGTTCTTGCTCGTCGATATCATCTGCTGCTGCGCCATTATCTTCCCGATCGTATGGTCGATTCGATCGTTGAGAGAGACCTCGAAAACGGACGGTAAAGCCGCGAGGAACTTGTCGAAGCTGACTCTGTTCAGGCAGTTCTACATTGTTGTTATCGGGTATCTCTACTTCACGAGAATTGTGGTGTTTGCGCTTAAAACCATTGCGGCGTACAAGTACCAGTGGGTGAGTTTTGCGGCGGAGGAGATTGTGAGTTTGGTGTTCTATGTGATTATGTTTCATATGTTTAGGCCTGAGGAGAAGAATGAGTACTTTGCTGTTGATGATGATGAGGAAGAAGCTGCTGCTTTGGCCCTTAGGGACGAAGAGTTTGAGCTTTGAAAAGCGGAAATGAAGGATTTTTTTTTCTGGGTTATGTTTTACGAAAGCTCTTGAAGAGAGAGTATGTCTATGTTAAAGTCGTCTTATATTGCAACTATTTTTGTTTCCTTCTTTTTTTTTGGGTTAAATTTTGTTCGTCTTTACATTTAAACTCCCTTGTTACAAACTTTCAACACCTTTTTATGGCCGTTTATTCAAATTTAACCGATTATAGCAAGATTAAGGTAGTTATCCCATGGCCTGGGTCCAAAAAATCAGTTTTTTTCTTTTTTTTAGCTGAGAATAAGTACAACAGTTTCTCTCGTTTAAAAGAGAAAGAAACAAAACTGTCAAAAAGGAGAAAAATAAGCCACTCATATCATTTCCCCGCCTTTTGCAAAGCGGAGAAAATAAAATAAAATACATCAGTAAATTCCTTGTTACAAATCAGCCATTGACGATTCATGTTTGTCCCTGGCGTTGCACAAAGCATAAAATTATAAGACAGAAATTACAGGGGCATTAAAATTTGTAAGAACAATTATACACTATATATAGTTCGTATAGAATTTCAACAACAGATTCTGAAGTCGCCATCATGTGCTCCAACGATGAACAATCTGGAGAACGGTAAAACACAAATGGTCGACAAATCTGATCTGACTCTTCCTCCCTTGTCGGCCATATACAGCTTCTGTGGAATAATCCGCTGCTGCTGCTGTTGTTGCTCCTCCTGTAAGTTGAACAAAACAGTTACATCTCACTCGTTAATTGGTTCACTGATGATCTAATTCTAATCTTAGTTTACGCACATAGCTAAAGCGATCAAGCCGTGCTTGCTTTTAACTCTTTAGTATATGAATCTCAGTAAAGAGTGAGAAATTACCTCGTCTTGAGATTTTGAGAGTGAGAAAATCCCGATGTTGTTTCTTGAGATGGAGATAACATCTTTTCCCCATACGGAGAAACCTGAAACACCGTCGTTGTGTCCTTTGACAGCAACAGGCAGTGGTTTCCAGCTCCTGTTTTACCAGAAAGATAACAAATCAGTTGTTATTCTCGCAGACAACGGAAACTTAAAAGAAAACATTCATTTTGATCGTATAGCTTACTTCCTCAAGTCCCAGGTTCGCAAAGTTTTGTCAAGAGAGCTGGAAACAAGTAAATGGCTCTCAGGTGCTGCTAACTGCAAGAAGCAAAAGAGATCGATGGTGAGAAAGAAAGGCCCTATTGGTTTTAGGAATCTATGAAAGAGGGGAAAAAAGGTTTAATTCACCTTTGTCACGTATCCGTCATGAGCTCTCCAGGAGGAAATAATACCACTTTCCCTCAAGTCAAAAAGCCTACACTGGCCAGAACTAAAACCAGCTGCAATCCAAGAAGGTGACACTGAAGCTCCCTCTCCATGTTTTGTCTGAGACCCTCCTGAGCACAGAGCAGATACGAGAGAAGTAAACCCCGTTTCAACAGGTTCTCCTCTCCAGAGTTGAAGCTTCTGGCCTCGTGCTAGATCCATAAACCTGGAGCCAAAATAGTTGCATATTATCTCAAATGCTAAAATGTATTGATCATTAGCGTAGTGTATACTATTTTACCTCAGGGAACCGGATCCGGTTCCGACAACAAGTTGATCCATGTATTCTAAATAGTGCATACATGTATACAAGTTCTCATCGAATATCCCAGTTGATAATCCATGTGACGCAAGTCTATTACTCTCATTCGCATTATTCTTTGATGAAGCTTGATCTTGATCCGTAGGTGACTCGGAGAACAATGATATTAGTTTGCCGGTTTGGCTGTTCCACACATGTATAGTTCCGTCACAAGATGCTATCTTTCCGGTTGATGACAGAATACTAATGTCATTAACAACCTAAATATACAACAAACACTTAGGTGCATACTTCGTATATAATAGGTACGCCGTAAGAAAGCTATAATAATACAAGGAACAAACCTCTTCATGAGCATGATAACCAGATACACAGCTTAAGCTTGCTAGTTCCCACTTCCGAACACTTCCCTTGAACCCTGGATCAATGCCTGAGGTGAAAACTGTACACTCATCTTCAGAAACAACTAAAGATCTCAGAGCTCCGTGATGGGCATGAGCAGAAGACAAAACAGAGGCTCTGATTTTCCATCGATGCTCATCTTTGGTGTTTCCAAAACGCCCAATGTCAAGCCCATCCCAACAAGCTACTGGACTAGCAAACCATGACCAGGGCTCATGCGCCAAAGGGTTTAAGACTGCTTCTTGTCCATCACTTAACCCCTGCGACTGGGGAACCGACTGTCCAGATCCGTTGAGCTGTTTCTTAAAAGTGTGCGTAGCTGCAAGGCCCTTGTTTGCCGCAGGCCTCGGTTTCATAATGAGCCGAGAAGATTGTCCGGTGTATTCCCACTGAATCACAATAGATTCAGTGATAAATGTCTCTAGCTCAATGGAAATATGTATATCAGATATTCTTGCAACAGAAACCCAGAGTTCTTCTACATATGAAGAAAGGATACCTTCCAGTTATGATGCTTAAGCAGATATTGCTCAAGGAGTAACCAGGTTGGACAACCCTGACGTAATTTCTCCATACCAAGAAGCGAGGCGAAAGAAGGATACAGAAGCAACCTGTAATTCTTACGACGTTAGGACACAAAACAGAATCATACCTAAGTTATTTACAAATGATTCAGGTGAAACACGCACACAAGATCCATACGGCTCTTGATTGGAGATTCTGGATGGGAATTTTGTTTGGTAGTCCTGATCTTCCAGTTTAAAGAGTCAGATACATCTGTACTTTTCTCAGAGAAAGCAAATTCATCGAAAAGCTCCTTCAACTGCGGAAGAACATGCAATGCAGTCAACTCTTGTCCAATCCGCTGGCAAATTGACATCAGGGAAGTTGCAGCAAACTGGAACATTGAAGAAAATAACATTTAGAAAGAATAAAACACATTCCATATGCTTGCAATGAGCAGTAAAGAGGTTTAAACCAGATCATACATCATATCCTACACGGTTCCCTCAAAAGTTACTGTTAACAAAAATACAAGAAAGAAAGAAAGTCAAGAATACCTGAAGGACGCGCAACTCTATATTTTTCTGCATGAGAACTCTTACATGTAGGCACAACCGACCCTACGACAAGTCACAACAACAGAACGAAAACTTAAGTGCTTAACATCAAACTACAATAAACATCAACAGTGCAAAATTTTAAAGCATACCTTGGTCAGCTCATGTATGAGCAAATCGTCTGATATAAGAGCAACTAGACCATCGAGTGTGATTAAGCAATCAGACAATGCTAAAGAACACCAGCTATGAATAGGCTCTGGTTTTTTAATAGAAGAAAGATCGATACAGAAGCAAACAACATGTTCAAGCAATGGCAGCATCTGTTTGGCAATAAAGTTCATGCCCAACAGTCTCCCTGAAAAATTACAACACAACAATCACTTGGCTATATATGAACCTTCCAGACAGAGCTATATAGCATGAACCAACAGATAGAGTGTACCAATTCTAACCAGCACATCAATCCCATCAGAGCATGTTCCTTTTCCGAAGTAACTAATCAGAGGTAGTATAGTCTGTATTGAGGGAAAAGACAACATCAAAATTAGAATTTCAGAATCAAACATACTCGATGATAGGTAAAAGAAAATGATCAGAGGACAAGAACAGGAACAGGAAATATTAGTCTTACCTGATGGACTGTAACAGGGGTACCAAGCTCTTCGGTGGAACCAATCAGCAGCACAGAAGCTGCAGAAGCCGAAATCTTGTCCGGAGAATTATATAAGTTTGATATGACTAAAGGATGAATCATTTCAAGATATGCTCTCTTTCCAATCCGATTCCAAAGTTCCCTCACGAACGAATGTTGAAGAAGAGAAACTTTCAAATGCGAGTAACCTGTCGTCTGAGCATATGATACTCTGTCAGAAGACAATAATTGGACTTAACAACAAGCTGATACTCTAAGCATACTGACATGTAGATTTAAAAAATTCCATTGGGAACCAACAAAATATGCGTACCAGTAAGATCTTTTGGATTGAAGGTAAGACAAGTCTCTGCACAGCCATTGGTGTCAAAGATTTCGTGAGCTCCTTGATAAGTACATAAGCCGATTCACACTCGTGGTCAGATAAAGGTGTCGTCACCAGTGGCAAACAGTACGCAGCACACATCTCTGCTACAAAAGTTCCCATTGCTTTCAAGGCCCCCTGTTTGGCAAAACTGGCAGCATAATACAAGCGTGTTTCACCCTTGGCCAAAAGGTGAAGTGGAGCAGCAAATAAGTAAGCTGACTTCACTGTAGCTGAGAAATACGGAGAGTTCAAGAGGCTCTTTGCTGAGGGCCTCCTAATTTTTCGACAGGAAGTGAAAGTAAAGAATCAGTCACACATCTAAAACGACAAAATACAAGCGAGTTTACAAAAAAACATAATGAAGTATCAAAGAGGACCAAGGTTTACCAAAAAAGGGTGAGACAAAGTACCTTCTCCAATCGTGTTCAATGCATGCTTCGACAAGTAACTTAGTAGGAGGAGGAAGTTCCTTGATCATTTCAGGTAAGTCACCGCCTTCTAAATAAGTAGCCAGAGACACTGAATTAAATAGCGGCTTCATCAAATAAAGTTCCGCCAAGACACAGCCAATAGAGAAAATATCCCCTGCGATCTCCTTGGAAATATTTCCTGAGCAGAAATCTTGCCGCCAAAGTAGCAACTCCTGCAGTTCCGTAGAAGCTTCTTCTCTCACCTCTACATGCTCCAAAAGATAATCCAAACTTATACTAGATGGTAGACATTTGTTATCTGAAGTTCCAGGGAGACAAGTATCAGCTTTGTTAGTGTTTTCACTGGAAGTTTCATGCAAAAGAGACTCGTCCAAGTTTCGATGAAGGTGATATTTTGGACTTAGATGTGATGCATGTTCAGAAAATGCAGATGCCTCTTCAGTTTCTTCCAAATAGTCATCAGCTTCAAGGATGACGGACCTCTTGTTGTCCACCCCAAAGCCATGAAACGTATGCATTTCTAGCTCATTTCTACTTTGTTCCTTCTCACGGGAGAAACGCAGGCGCACCGGATGAGGCCGAAAAAAGAGTTGACGGCGACCAACCGACCTTGGTGCTGTCGACTCAGATGAAGACAACATAACATTCTTCGCAGTAATAGCAGCCTGTCCCGACATTTTGTAACCGAAAGTAATATCAATCCAGTGATGTATTAAGGATGAAACATGTGGGCTTTCCAGAGCATCTCGATGCAATCTAATGAACTCCTCGGGGCTGCTTGCCCATGGAGGTACAGCCAAATCAGACATAGTAGGATGAAGGGAGCAAAAGATGCGGGAATCACAGTAAAACTCAGGGATGCACTCGTCAGGGGTCCAATCATAAAGCCTTTGCATGTCAGAGGGATACTCATTAGGTTCGTACACTGACCGAACTGCCTTTCGCAGGACGCTCAGTGGCAGTCTCCTTGCTTTGTAGCTGCAAACAGCCAACTCAGACAGACATTCATCTGATACGTGATGCGGAATCTCAAATGTCGAGTAGGTGAAATCCAATTGTTCATCTCCTTTAGCCAACCTCCATTTGCTTTTTCTTAAATCTCGCCAGCCTGAGTCACTATCATTTTCAGGCTTTTTGCTGAAATCTATGACCCATGGCATTACCGGATGAAATGTGTGGTCCCCCCACCTTCGACCTGCTAGTTTGTTTAAGAAGAGTAAATACTCAAAATTGCTTACCTCTCCCTTCCACCATTTATCAAAGATAGTCTGCCAGTCCAAATGTGAAGAAATTTTAAGATCAGCATAAAGGCTATAAGAGTAACAATCCTCTACACACCACCTTCTTCTTGAAACAGATGAATTGGCACCTCCAGAGCTTAAATCAGGCTTGCTAGAGATCCTTAACCAACACCATAGTGAATCGGACAATAATATGCTTGACGGATTAATGTCCCCATGCGAAACCTTCAACGCATGCAAGTGAGCTAACGCAGACAATAGCTGAAATATCATAAAATTTCGATGCCATTCTGACTTTATAGCACCGGGGCTGTAGTAGAGAATATTTTCCAATGTATACGGGGCTTTCGGGAGCACTGAGACCAAACAATCAGATGATGTCAGAAATCCTAATACCGGTGATAGATTTGGATGCCTGAGACATGGAAGCTTGCTCTTCTCCTCTAACAACGGCAACCCAAGAAGACGAAGGAAACTTTGAGTATCTTTTCCAGATGACTTTCCATCAATCAGGCGATGTAGAGAGGCCAAAATATCATCTTCCGGGCACTCGGAAAGGAAACTAGAAGCAAGCTTTTGAAGATCAGAGGCAGAACATTTGCTAATCCGAGCAATCGGTAAAAGTGCAGCTATGGTTCTCCAACATGTACAACTACCTGAAAGCTCGCAAGTAACACTTCCACAAGTAATGTTCTCTGTGCCTAACTCTCTGTCATCATCTTTAGTAGCAAGAGAGCCACTGGTTGAGCAATCCAAATTCTCATCACATCCAACAGCATCAAATTCTCCAATACCACATCTTTCGCTGCAAAGAAACGAAGTTCACTCAATCACAGAAGTTTTTAGCCTAAGGAGAAAATAACCAAAAGAGAAATTGACCATACATGTAACTGGCTAAGCAACCATGTTCGTCCTTTCGGAGATACTCCAAAATGAACTGAGACGAAGTTGATTCACAAGAAGAAGCAGATAATCCCTCGCTAGAGTTAGAAACCTACACAAACACCATTTGAAGCAGCTCTAATTTCCAATTCTTCCACCATTGAAATCTAAAAAATTCATGTATTATGACTATTGGTATAGCAGCGAATAGAGGGAGACCTTAACGACGGCGGAGGATCCAAAAGGTAGAGGCGAATCGGAGAGGCCGTAAGAGAAAACAATCTGGTCGGCGAAGTCTGACTTGACCCGTTGATCGAGGCAATCGAAGCAAACGTCACTAGCTTCACCTCGCATCCCTTATTTCTCGGAAGAGAAACGTCAATTTTCAAATGAAAAGGATCAATCAATCAACCTCGGCGACCTTCTGGAAGAAAGAAAAAGTGCGGCCAGGAACGCCGTGTTTCCTTCCCTTGTAAACGGCGGCGTTTCAGCCATCTACCTCGGAAGCAAAGTAAATATAGAAAAAGACACCAAAATTGGATATTTTGAAAAAGTTAAAATATTTAAAAATCTGGGTGATGGGGTTAATTTTGCAGAATGAAAGAAAAGAATTTACGACGGCCGTGAAAGTTTCTGTGACGGAGAGTTTTCCGCCGTTGAAAGTGAAAAGGCACAAATTGCAATGGGAGGAGGAAGAGGAGGAGCCGTTGACGAGCTAACCGAAGATGAGAAGAAAGCTCTCAGAGGAAGCAAATTCGCTCCGCTAACTTCTCTTCCATCCTCTTCTCGCTCTCAGCCGCCAAGGTTCGTTTTCACTCCTTAGGGTTTCTTCTTCCATTTTCTCGATTTTAGATTATGAATTTCCTGGGTGTGATGTCTACAGATTAGCTCATCCAGGTGGACCCTTGAAGACGAACAAAGCGGCGGCTTTAGCCAAGTTTCTAGAGAGAAAGCTCCAGGATCCTAATGGGTTGTCTTCCATTGATCCTAATCTTGTCGAATTGGCCGTCAAAAACGCACGAGAGACCGTTATTTCGAGTGAGTACTACCTAAAAATGATTACTTGATAATGTTTGGCTGAAAGTTGTGATTCGTGACTGGAACGAAAAAGGATTAGTTTGTTCAAGAGGCTTAGCATTTGGAAGATGGCAATGCCATTGTCCTGTGACTATAAGACTTTCGTGCTAGTTTAGTAGAGGATAACATAGTTTTAGACTTTTAGTTGATTATAGTCACGGTTGATAGCTCAGCATTAGCTGAGAGCTGACGTGCTACGAAAAATGTGTTGACTCATTGATAAGTTGTTCTTGTTAAGTGTAGTACTGGGTTATTGTAAGTAGCCTACGGGAGTTGCAAGGAAGTTTAGCTTTACCAGATCAACAACAGATCTTAAAGCTTAGTTGAGAGCTGAAGGTTTAAAGCGGAGCTATAGGAATGAGTTGAGGCACTCTAAATTGATCTAGAATCTTGGTTTGGGCTTAGGGGAGTTTAGGGTGCTTTTATCTTTGGCTATTTGCTTTAGTTTGTTATATGTTTGTCTTCTGTCACTGATCCACAGAGTGAATAAAGAGAGAATCAAATCTTGTTCTGTGTAGGTACCCTGGATTTTCTAGTATTTTGGCTGGGAATTAGGATTGATAGGTTGTGGTTAAAGAATACAGATGAACAATAATAGTTGGTATCAGAACCTGACTCTCATTTTTAGTGGTGGAGGGTAACTATCAAAAGGGTTAATATAAACTTCAAACTATTAGTTGTATCAAACAGGAGACCTTATATGTTTTGGTCAGAAGTTCGTGTATAATTGTTCAAAAGTCATAATAGTGCAGGAGATGTATATGGCGTTGAAACTGCATTACATCATTGCAAACAAAGATTGATGCATTCCATGGGTTTTCGGTTTTCCTCTGTTTCAAAGTAGCTCTGAAAGAATTTTGAAAGCATGCATAGTATTCCTTAGATGAAAACGCATAGTTAGTACTGACTACTGTCTGCCTGAAACTAGCTTCGCACTATCAGCTCATTGTAACCGTGGACTTAGTCTAGCTCACTTCAGTGTTTAGGATAATCATGCTATTTGCTAGATGAGTAGTGAAAACAAGATAGCATACTAATATGGAGAGAAATTCTTTAATCCGAGCCAATCCATTTGCTTGCATCAGTTATGCTATGGCAGGATGAGATTTTCTTAAGCTCTGGTTGAGTATCGAATGTGAAGATAATCTTTTTGATACTCTACTGGTCTCAGGTGGGGCTTCGAGTTCAGGAAGAAGAATCCAACACGTTGCCTCATTCGAAGACGTCGAGGTATCTAATCCTTTTTACTATTTCTCATTCTATCTGGATAGGGAATAACATTTGTGGAATATGTTCAGCTGAACAGTTCTTACGCCTTCTTTATCATGCTTAGGTATCTTCTGATGACGATAAGATAGAGAACACTAAGCTTAACCAAAAGAAAAAGAAGAAAACCGCAAAGAAGAAAAAAGATGAGAAAAAGAAGAAGAAAAACAAAAACAAAAAGCATAAGGTTATCTCCCTCACACCCTTTTTTCCTTATCTCATCTTTCTACTTGCTTTCTCGTTTTTCTCTCCACACGATTATATAAATGTCTTTTTACGTTAACTTTCTGGATTCGGTTGCTCATATCTGCGTGTGGAAAAAACTTTTTTGAAAGCAACAGATCACAGTCGATGAAGATGCCAAGTTGAAGAGACCCAATAAGAAGTTGAAGCTTTAGTTTCCCTTTACTGCTATACATTAGTGGTCACACATTTGATAAATGTGGTTTAGCTGGGTCCTTAGCAGAACAAACTCAATCACCGATATCTATCTTAAGATCATGATGTATTTCTTTTGTGTCGGTTAGCTTAATGTGCCTTTATATTCAGTTAAATCTGAGACTGGAGTTGTTTGAAATTTTTGAACAAATAGCTTCATGAATTTGAAATTTGTATTTTATATGAAGATCCATTGCCTTTTAGAACATAGTTATGAGACCAGTTCATTGTTTGCCAGTTTTTAATACAACAGAGTTCATGGGTATAAGTGTTTGTACCAGTTCTAAGGGACAAGACGAGACACAATAATTATGTTAATAAAATTCTCTGATTTTCTAGATTCTATTGTTTAAATTGTCTACGTGATGATTTTATAATCTCTTTTTTGTCGTCAGATTTTCAAGTATTTCTGAAAGATTTTAAAGAGTTTATAGTTGTTGAGTTTAAAGAGTTTATAGCTTCGAGATCAAAGCAAATTTCCCATTTTGCTATACAAAAGCTAAATTTTTCAGTTTACCGTTCATGGGTAAAACAGTACAAAAAGTCAACAACCTTGTATAGTTGTATGCACATTTTAAAGTTGAACCATTAAAATCATCTATGTTCCGAGCTCAAATTTTCAGACTTTAGAGGTATTGATAAATAAAATGAAATAACCATTAAAAATGACCTCGCCGACATTTGGCAGATGAGGATACGAATGTTATGGCCCAAAAGATCTTTGAGAGAATAACACAAATCTCCAAAAGCTGCTCACATGTGGCCAATACCTCTCCAAGTCAAACATTACGCATTCTATTTTTTAATTTATCCCTAAAAGAGCTTATTATTAATTTATACTCCTCACAAGACCATGCTTACAAGTGCCACATTTGGCGACCAAAACAGAAAATGCCTCTATTGACTAGCTAACCTAACTTTCACTCTTTTGGAATGGCTCGACTGAGTATTCACACCATTCAGTCTTCAGAGAGCAACAGTCGGGTTTAACTCGTCTATTATTCACACTAATGCCTTTTATAGTCGTTTGATTGGTAATTACATGATCAGTCACGAGTTGTTAAAAGTCAATACTCATACTGCCCGAACATAAATCATTTATACAATCCCCACGCTCCTTTCTACGCGGCTTGACTTCACGCGCCTCAATCATTCCAAGGCCACCAAAGATCCAAAACTTTCTTGTTTTGCTTGTAGTGGCAAATACATATGCTTACTGAGTATTTGTATCACATGACGCGAAAAATATACATATTTACGTAAATGATTATAGTTTAAAAGATTTGTTTGTCGACTAGATGACATAAGCGACAACAATAGTCGGTGACGACGGTATTCGCATGATGCGATGCGAGTTACGATCAATTTTTACATTTTCTATGTAAACACATCTCATTTGAGATTCTTTTTGTAATTCACTGTCACTTGATATCGTTCAATAACACCTCGTCAAGTTAGACTCATACATATCTTAGGATTATTGCAGAGATCTAGATCTTAATTTAGGGAGGACCAATGGAAATATCGGAAGTGGTAAATCGTATATGCTTTGCTTTGTAGTGTGAAGTGACTTTTAAGCGTTTGGTGTTGAGTGCGATTCACACTCTTTGCGTGAGCGTGCAAGTAAATAATTTCCGTATATACATCTACTCCTTCTCAACACGTGGAGTTTTTCTATTTGTGGCAACATGTACAAAACAACACATTTTTTTGCGTTAAAACCTATATACTTAAGTCGAAATCTAAACAAATTGTAAACATGTCAAAATGATGTTTGGTGAAACAAAACCAGTTTTCTTATTTGCGTTTACGGTCTCAAAAACGAAATCTAATGTGACTGCCAAAACCAAGCAATCTGGTTAATCAAGACCACCTGTCAACATTAGCACAACCTTAATTATTACGTCCGATCAGTGTAGTAGTAGCGAGAAGCGACTAATTAGGTTTTCTAGATAAGATTACGAGATAATTAGCAGATGGAATGGTTGGTTGAGGAAACACAAAATGTTAACATCGGTTGATAATTAACACACGAGTTAAATATAAACATCTGTCTCGCAAATTAGTTAATTTTGACAAAGGAATTGTCATGTAGCTATGTTTGCAACTTGAGCCGACACAATTTATTTCTTTGACTTATTTGTTTTCTTAACCATTAAAAAGTACTCCCATTTCCCATTTCTTAATATAATAGATATAAATCAATAATATTGACATATGTACTTATGTTTAATAACTCATCGCACAGGTTTGTAAACACTTTGTCTTGGTCAAAATAAAAAAACCAAGTTATAATATCTACTAAAAAGTGATTTCTGTTGTACATAACAAGAATACTGATTTTTTACAGCTCATAGAAATTATTTGAGATTTTAGTTTGTGATTTACGCTAGAGGATGATGGCACGTTAATATAGTTAAATTTTTCGAAATACTTAACCGACAGTCAAACAAAGGTAGATTCACATAAGTACGAGTTGAATTGTTACATTAAATTGTTCTGAAGTTAAATTCCACCCTTTGACAATTAAAAAAAAAAAAAAAAAAAAAAATCACCTCTTGGTGTGTGTAATTACTAAAAGATGGGGAAAAAAGGAAAATAAACGTTGATGGAAAAAGAAAGGGGCATTAAATTAAGAGAAGTCATTTATTCTATGTTTGGCGCGTATATTAACCACCACCGGCAAAACACCCACAAAAAAGGCGAGCACGCATAAAGAAAGATCAAAGCCTTCCCCATCCCTTCCAAAAAAAATTAATTATTCGAATTAGCCCAAAAAATCTCAAGAAGCTCGAAACAAAAATCTGTTCTCTTGAAAAAAAAAAAATATATATATTTCAGCTTTAAGCAAAGAGATCAAGCGACTGAGAGTGGTGTGGAGACAGAACCAACCACGATCTGTGGTTTTTTGTCCTTTTTTTTTTCTTCCATTTCTTTCTCCAATCTCACCAATAAAAGAAAGTTCCTTCCGACACTCCCATTTGATCGGAGCTCGGCATTTGGTGGGTTCTGTTTCGGGTAAACAAAAATGGAGCGGTACGGTCGCGCCGGCGAAGAAGGGTCGCGGTCGGATCCATCACTTCAATGGACCGCTCCAGGTACCAGACCCGGTATCGAAGGTAACGTTAATGGGGTCTTCCTGCATTTTCTCTGTCTCTTAAATCTGTGATTAGCGTTTTGTAAGAATTGAATAAAAGTTTTTGTTTTTTTTTTCAAAATGCGGCGTTTGTAGCTTCGATGTGGCGGTTAGGGTTGCAAGGCGGTGGTGGTGAATCGTTCCCGGAGCGACCCGATGAGCCCGATTGTATCTATTACTTACGAACCGGTGTTTGCGGGTACGGCTCGAGATGTCGGTTCAATCACCCACGAAACCGTGCACCGGTAATAAACACACACACTCTCTCTCTCTTTCTTTCTCTGTTTTCTCACTTTCTGTTTTCTGGGTTTTTGATAAAGTTACTACTTTTATGTTTTTTTTTTCTGCTTTTTATTACTTTCGATTTTGCTAGTGTCTTTTATGTTAATTGGGGTGATTTAGTTGATCAGAAGCATTGTTGAATCTTCGATCCGATATCACTGAAACAGAATCTAAGATCTTCAATTTGTTAGGAAGCTCTCACTGGATGTTCTTAGTTTCATTTTTTTGTATAGGTCTTGGGAGGTCTTAGAACAGAAGCTGGAGAGTTCCCAGAGAGAATGGGACAACCCGTTTGTCAGGTATCTATTCGATCCATCACTTGGACTTTTAACTTGTTTAGTGCAAGCCAATTCTCACCTTAATGCTTTTCTTTTGGACAGCATTTTATGCGAACGGGAACGTGTAAATTTGGTGCTTCTTGCAAGTATCACCATCCAAGACAAGGAGGAGATGCAGATTCTGCTACTCCTATCTCACTAAATTACATGGGATTCCCATTACGCCCGGTTTGTTCAATCTCTCTCTGGTTTTGCCGGTTGTATTTTTCTTGTATCACTCTCTCAAAGTTTTCCTTATGAATGGATCATACAGGGTGAGAAAGAATGCTCCTACTACATGAGAACCGGCCAGTGTAAATTCGGTTCCACTTGTCGATTTAATCACCCCGTCCCTCCCGGAGTACAAGCTCCATCACAGCAGCAGCAACGAGCTATTTACCCGTCTCAAACCGCTCCTTCATCGCAGCAATACGGAGTCGTTTTAGCCAGGCAGCCTCAGCTTCTACCAGGCTCATACGTTCAAAGCCCTTACGGTTACAGCCAAATGGTTCTTCCTCCTGGCATGGTTCCATACCCCGGCTTTAACCCTTACCAGGTAATGCTTTAAAAGAAACCTCTTTTTCGTTATTACTTTTCCTTCTTTGAATTTTGATAAAACTTTGGTTCTGTTTTCTGTTTAGGCTTCTGTGAGTGCATTACCTTCGCCTGGGACTCAACAGTCTGTGGGATCAAGCTCTGTTTATGGGATGGCACCGTTATCTCCTTCAGCTCCCGCTTATCGATCCGGTCCATCTTCTACCGGTCTTTCGAATAAGGAACAGTCGTTTCCTCAGCGACCTGGACAACCTGATTGTCAATACTTTATGAGAACCGGAGACTGTAAATTCGGATCTTCTTGCAGATACCATCATCCTCTTGAAGCAGTTTCCGCAAAGGCTATCACCCTCAGCTACATTGGCCTCCCTCTTCGTCCCGTAAGTCTCATTCCCGCAATCACAAGCACATAATAGCTTTCACGCCATATAGGAACTCTGTTTCTTGATGTGATCATAAAGGGATCATAAAGCTCTGTTTTTTTCTGTATCATTTCTTGAAATTCCATTCTTCTTTCTATGCAAGCATGCATCTATTAACAAAGACAATGCTAATGATAATAACTTGTGCAGGGCGTAGCGCAATGCACTCACTTTGCGCAACACGGGATATGCAAGTTTGGGCCAGCTTGCAGATTTGACCACTCCATGGGGTCTCCTTCACTCAGCTACAGCCCGTCAGCTTCTTCTCTCACTGACATGCCCGTAGCGCCTTACCCTCTCGGGTCCTCATCGCTAGGCACATTAGCTCCATCATCATCATCATCCTCTGACCAACGAACAGAGCTTCTCTCTTCAAGCTCCATTAAACCAAGTACCACAACATGTGGTGGTTCAGAAACTGTCTCTGCTGGAGTTTCTTCTTCTTCTTCTTCTATGACTACCAGCGGTGTGAAGCTTGCTGAGACCAAAAATGGTGACTCGGCTGGTACTGAGGCTAAGACTTCAACAAGTTAAAGAGACAAAACTCAAAAGGAGAGAAGAGAATCTCTCTCTCTCTCTCTCTCTCTCTCTATTCTTCTTCGATTATTATCTCTCTATCTCTCTTCTTCTTTTCATCAAACTATCATGAACTCATCAGGAACATATAGTTTTTTTTTGGGGGTAGAGACAATAGCAGGAAGCAAAGCAGAGAGAGACGAAAGGAGCTCTAGTCTTCTTTGTTTATGTCTCTCCTCTTAGGTCTCTCTTACCATGTTCATATTATTCCTTCATACGGCCATCTCTTTCTCTCCCTCTCTACTTCTTGTTTTTATTTTTGGAAACAATTGTTAATAAATGGCTTTATATATTCACGAAATCCTCTGTTTATATTAAGTTTATGGAATATGGGATTGGGAACTAAGAGTCCGATCTTGACCAGAACATGTAGCGTTATGCTTTGTGTTAGCATCAAGCCTATAGAGTAAACAGTATACACAAACGCTATTTTATTTTATTTTTGTTGGAGAAAACGCAAACGCATTTTTTACGTTTTTAAAAAAAAAACGATCCGATTGTGAAGGTTAGTTTACGCAAACGCAATTTTTATGTGTAAAAGAGTCAGATTGTGAAGGTTAGTTTTTGGAACAGCAACAAGAAGAGAGAAGGGCATAAAGTCGATTCACTTTTCTACTTTTATTCTTCTTGTCCTACATTCGATCCGTACGACTTTGATCATGACGTAGATATAGATGAACAGAAGTAATTAAAAACTACTGTTAATGTGGGAGTAGTGGTCAGTGTTTCTCGTACTTGGTTCTTTGTGTTGGTTGATATAACATGTGCATGTGTGTGGTTTGTTCGTTGCGTCTAATTTCACTCAAACAACAGAACAACCATAATCATGAGTTTGGTCACTGATACATCACAACAAAAGCTTTCAACAACCCAAATAAACTACTAATCATTAAATGCTTTCTCTCTGAGTTAGTTCTTACATCTACCATGATTAAGACTGTATATGGATATAGGCTTTTAAATTTATATACTAGTAATTAGGGTATTACAACGAGTTTCGATAGACTAATAATTTTTGTACTTGATTGTGGTTTTCTCTTCCTGTTTTTTTTTTTTTTTTTTTTTTTCTGCATAAAAACATCGATTATAATGTATTGAAATATGACAGTAATCAAAATTACTTAATACATAATCTATGAAGAACTCAACGACAACACCAAAATTTTAGTAACTACCTGGAAGTTATTTTCTTTGAGGCGAAATGAATAGTTAAGTCATATATGTATGTTTGATATGTATAACAGCTATGATTGGGTCTTTGTTGATTCTTTTTTTTTTAAGTGAAACAAAATTGGAAAAGTGACTAATTGAGTTCTATGGGAAGAAAGTCAAAAACCTTAAACTGATTTAAAAATGAAAAAAAGAGCTGTGATGCTGAGTTGATGTAGACAAAAGTTAAGGCAAATATAGGCAAAAGGAGGGAGACATGCAACAGTGATTGTGCAATTAAAGACCAAACAAGTCATGACCAAAACACATGTCCAAAGACTGCAAACACCATCATGCTCCTTCGCTAAAAGTCCATATAATATGTTGAATATGAATAAATTAATATGCAAAATTTGAGTACAAACTCATTCTATCCTTATCATTTTCCATAAACATATTTAACTCTCAATTATATTATATCGCCAAAAATTACGACTGTCATACAGATATTCATAATAACAACTGAGCGTATACTCATGGATCAAAATTAGAAATATCTATGTTTTTGCGACTAGTCTTTTGGAAATATTTTTGTTGTCACTGCTAGTCATATATCCGTTTTGAGCAAGTCATTTGATTTCATTATTCTACTACGCACAATGAGTGTGTTCGAAGTAGGATGGACAAAAAGTGGTCCTTAATACAACTCGCATTATCCCTTTTTGCTAATTAAAACCATGATTCAAAACAAAACAAAAAAGAAGAACAAAGGAAAATCAAAACTTCATGGTAAGGTAACCTTATGGTGCATGAAACAATAAGCAAAATATAATAATAAACTCGATAACATATAGTTAACAACAAAAATCAAACGACTATCGAATAACGTAAATACTAACAAAAGTAACAATATTATTACATATATTATAACAGAAAATATTATATGGAATGTTCTAATAAAGTGAGTAGAAGCCTGTCGTGTCTGCAACAACATCTCCAAAACCAGTGATAGAAGAAGAAGAAGTTAACCCTTGCGGCTCCATTATCGTATAATCTTCCATCGACATCGTAGCAGCAGCTCCGTAGTTAGTGATCATGGCAGAAAGATCACAGGAACCAAACTCATGATGATTCATCATCAACATATCACCATCTTCAAAGTAACTAGTACCAAACCCTCCGTATGATTCAGAGTCTTTGCTTGCCGGAGTTGTGAAACCAGCTCCGGTTTGATTTTGGGTGGTGGTGGTTTCCGGGGGTGGTTTAAGGCAGTGGTTTGGGACAATGCAGTCCAAGTAACCTGAGTTGTTATTGGGGTTGTTACCTTCTAACAAGAAGAAGTTGTTTTCTTCGTCTAGTGAGGAAGATAGCGAGCCGTTTGAAGACGAGTTTTGAGGACTGGCACCAAACGCTTGTATATCCACGTTTTGATGACGAACAGGCGTTTTGAAAGAAGCGGCGGGTAACACTGTTTGGGGGAGAGTGTGCTTAGGCTGTTGTTGGTGATGATTATAGTTTTGATGATAATGAGGATGATGATCGATGACAAACTGTGGAGAAGAGTTTGGTAAGAAAGATGGATTATTGTAAGGAGAAACGATGAGAGAATGGAGATTAGGGTTTGTGAGGATGGTGTGAACATCAGTTGGAGTGTAGACGAAGTTAGTTCGAGCTTGAGTGCCTCTCATTGAAAGAGCGGCTCTGTCGTAGGCAAGAGCAGCTTCATGAGCTGTGTCGAAAGTGCCGAGCCAATGACGTTCTTTGGTGGTTGGATCTCTAATTTCTGCTGCGTAACGACCCCATGGACGTCTCCTGACTCCTAGGAACCTCCCTGGCTCTGCTTGCTTTGATCTCCGGCCTCGTCTCTCACCAGTTGTGGCGGCAGCGGTGGTGGTTGTGTTTTGGTGGATTAGAGTAAAACCCATTTGAGCTTGGGATGTTTCAAAGGGTTTGTTATGATCTAGGGTTATGGAGGTTGACATGATGATAAAGAAATGGGTTTTTTTTCAAAAGAGTTTTATTAGGGTTTTTGTGTTTGAAGATGTGTTATAATGCGGAAAAGGTGTTTTTTCTTTTTTTTTTTCTTTGCTCTGTCTAAAGACTGATGAGTGTTGTTTGGGAATGGAACTGAAGTGTTGTTATAAATAGAGAGACATTGAGCTTGACAGAGAGAAGATAGAGAGACTTCTTCACTTTTGATTCAACTGCTTTTAGTAGACTATCTTTTGTTTCTTATATTTGTTTTTATTTCCAAAGATATTATATATAGGCTTCAACGACAGAAAACAATAATTAAAGTTTAAACGTTGGCACACATCAATTGGATTTTTATATGGCTAATTAATCAGTGGAAATAAATAAAAACCGAATTAAAACAGTACGTACTTAATCGACTAGTTTTTACTTTATAACAAAACCTAACGAACGATTTTTTTTATTCGGTCTTCCTGGCCATTACAATTTACCGTTTATAAATTTATAATTGTAACTATAACTGTGTGTTACAGTGCATAGTGCATATATGAATGTATATGTATATGGATGGCTACTTATCAAAGCCTAAGAGGGAGGCTAAGAATCATTGGAACTACTGCAAAATCCGGAATGTCACAGTAACCAATCGTGATTTAGGATAAAGAACAAGAAAATATAAACAGATTGAATATAGTTAAATACTTAAATATTGTGTAAAACAGTAACAAGAGATATTTTAATTGTGATGTATATATTACATCATGCTATTTGAATCTTTTATTTCAATGATCAACTCAAATAATCTGCTTAGTGGTCACGTGCAAATGTGCAATATGCATAATAACCCTACATATCATAGCCTAAAGGTCAAGGGTCTACGTAAAAAAAAATGATGTTTTCCTTGCAACTAAATCCCCTACCCAATTAATATAACTGATATATACTTGAGGTGATATGCATTGCTAGTTACAATTAAAGAGTCTAATCAGTTTGAATCGAGATTCATAATTTTAATTTTCAGATAAAAATATCAACAATTTGAATATATTTCAAAATCAGTATTCTCTAAAATTTATTTCAATACGTTTTATAATTATAAAATATTACAGCGAATACGAAAGTGACATAAAATTCAAATTTTTGTCTTCTATCATATTGATTTGGTTTAGTATGGTTAACTATAATCTAACTTGATTGTAGAAGCCCCTGGTCAAATCACATGGTTACCCGCATTTTAAGCGGAAATAGAAATGAGAATAATTTGTTTGTCATCTTGTTATGATTTTTTCAATGGGAGTGGTTAAAGAAAGACACGATGAACCAAACACAAATTAAAATGCTTAGAAGGTACGTATAAATTTGGTTTTTAATTTAATATCTCAGTGGGAAATTTTGTATTGATGTCCTTATATATGCGAACAAACACAAGTCAACAGCAATCTTAGTCTCTTTGTGTTTGGAGTTTTGTGGGACTAAATATATACACATGCATACAAACCTGGACCTCGACTAGTTATTTGTCATATGTAATTGCATTTAGAAATTTATGTCTTACCCGACAAACAGATATATATGATGAAATCAAGAAAATTGTTCATAGTCAACTATAACACGACTTTCCAAAATCTAGTTAACAATTCAGAAATGACAATGAGCTATAAGTTTGAACTTTGGTTCTAGATTAGAGACTTATCAGAAGAAGAAGAACACTGACGTTTCAAACCGTTGTGTATTTGAGAATATATACATTTAGATTTTGTTTGGAATGCCACGTTGAAACGAACACTTTGTATGTTATACTCGAGCTCAATAAACGCAAACATTGATGGAATGGAACCCACGTAAAGAAAAAGAATTGATAGTCAAAAGGGAAGTGATCGGAAAGCTCAAAAGGAATTGTAAAGCAGAGTTTGATAAAAACTGCCCAAAGAAGAGCAACAGGGTAGGTCACTTCTTCGCGTTTCTTAGATTAACTTCAATGCAGCATATAGTATAACTAAGCTATTTGGTAAAAATGTCAAACTGTTTACGATATTAAATGTGAAAAGTTTTATGTCAGTTAATTACCTAAGAATGATTCCTATTAACTACAAACACGCAGATGACATGAGAAAAGTAGAGTGTTGCTAAATTTTACCTTTTTTTGTTAAAGGCTAAATTTTACTAGTTACCAAGGTTTCTATTTTGATATTATGTAGCATTTTTAACTGAAAAGGTGTTGTAAGACATAAGGTTAGCTAAACTCTCTTCTTCTTCCTTTTTTCCTTTTGATGGCAAATAACCTACGCAAACTAAAAAATAAATCAAGCAAATTGAGAAGATTTGTATGCCTTTTTAACCGAATGGGCTACGGTACAAAAGTGCGATGGACTCCTTGTATTAAGGGTTGGAAATGTGACAACTGTGGCCTGTGGGTAAGCTTTATGTTGCACATTGCGAAATGGCATTGGGAATGAAAATTCTTATTCTTTTTTTTTATAGAAAACGAGTCAAACTAATAGTAGTGTATATATAATTATATACATTTTGGCTCTTCTTAGAATTATAACTTTGACTAATACAGCAGTAATACAAATATTGTGGTCGGATCACGATAACCGTACTCACTATCTTCTGGTGCTTTGCATCTTAACGATACAATTAACCAAAGACAATAGCAAAATGTTGTGCGCCAGAATATTACACCAGTGAAGTCTCTATGCAACGCCTAATTATTAGGCCGAAGGTCAATTATATTTAGAATAGGAATGTTTTGTTTCAGAACTATAAGAAATACTACTAGAGAACACTTATTCTTATCCGGAAATTACATAGAGTTCTAAAATGCAATGATTAGAATAAAGTAATAAATGTTTAATTGGGTGGTATTAATATATTTCATCCCTTTAAGAATTGGGGTTAGAGACAAAACTAAGCTATGTAAGAATCTGACTACCCTTGACTCCTCCACTCAAATTTTGAACTTCATGTGGGACTACTAACCTTCCATTTGACTATCTTCCTGTATACATCATCATTTTTCGTGTTATTTACCACTGAGATCAAAACCAGTGATAATGTTATTTATGAAAGACGTATCATTTCATACAAAACTTGTATCATCGTTTTGTATATATTTTTTATTTTTCCAGTTTTGTGCATTTTATCAACATGCATGTATATCACGAGTCAGAAATATACATGAAGCCATGAAGGTCTTGTACATTTCAGATCTATTATCTACGGAAACTCATACATAATTGTCGTATTTATGCCTCAAATTATCAAATTTCATCTAACCATTGAATTTTGTTTAACTTAAACATTATCACGAGTCATAACATGATGCGATTCGAAGCGTCCTAAAAATCTTTTCCTCTCCCTTCTCTCTTCGTCGTCTTCTTGCGGTTTCTCTGTTTGGCCGGCGCCGGTGGGCTTCCACACCCACGGCGTCTTGGCTCTTTTGTGTTTTGTCTTAGTTTTGAGTTTTAATCGGTTTAGATCTTCGTTCCCTAGCCTTTTTCTTTTACGGCGACAATAGATTAGATTCTAGATCTAGACCTAGATTTTTTCTATTCCGGATTTAAAAGGTTTTGAAGATCTCTTTTGCTTCTGGGTTGTTTCTTATGGGTTTTTTTCGATTGCTGTAGATGTTTCGCCTCTTCGCCGGATCTAATTTTTGGCCACATTCCGAATCGACCATCCTCTCCGCAGAGGCGGTTCTGGCGGCGATTTTTCGTCTCCTCCACTAGATACTACCGACGGATCTGGTCGAGATCTGTTTGGGTTCCGTTCGCTCTGCAAACCGGTGTTTTGTCGTCTCGACTCTGCAACAACCGGCTCCGGCTTCTCTTAGGCTGCTCAACAAATGGATGGTTGCGCCTTGTCGGTCTTTGCTGCTTTCGGTATTTTCATTTCTGAAGTCTACTATTCCCTAGAGAGGACAAAGGAGAAGAAGTTCTCTTTTTTAGATTCGGTGTTATAGGTTTGAGCTTTATGGCAATTGTATTTTTCTCTAGTATATTTCTTGTTGGTTTCCCATATGTGGGCTCTGTTTCCGGTGGATGTTATTGTCCTCTCGACTTATTTCCGGGGATTTAAAACCTCTGTCCGCCGGCTTAGATTCCCGTCTTTGGGCATTGTAAGTTTGGTGAGGTGTGTAACACCATCTAGCTACCTCATTCTAATAAAATTCAAGACGAAAAAAAAAAAAAAAAACATGATGCGATTACAAAAACACTATCGCATTAGTAGCAGGGGTATAGTTCCATAGTTTTGTTATGATGCACGATATACTTCTTTACTAATAAGTGTACACATCTGGCTTACCGACTTCATGTAGTCGTTGAAGATTCGAAGTTAATTAATATGAACTTCCCTAAAATTCTCGGAGAAACAAAACAACACTATATCTCTCTCTGTGTGTTTTTTTAAAATACGGTAAATAATTCATAATATAACATATGATATGATAAATTCAAGGGAATTGTCACTGCGCACGATATTGGGATTGCACTATTGCACTATTGAACACTTTTGGGTGAAATTGATCTTTAGTCAAGTTCCATGTGATCGAGGCTTTCTTGGGTTTATGAATGAAGAATTTCTTCACATTTCTCAAAAAAAGGCAAAGAAAAACACATAAATTTTTGAACAGCTAATGGAAAGCCAAACCTTTTTCTTATGAAATTAATTTCTGTTGTGGTTTAAATTTTCTTTTTGTGTCAAAAGGACATCCCCGGGATTTAGGGGTAAAGGTTTTCTTAGAACAAACTTGGACTTTGACGAGAGTCCAGACCGTGTGACCAAAAAGCCAAGTGGGGGCTTCACTATTAGTTTGCTATTGAATTATATATCTCCGAGAATATTAGGCCATGAAGATACAAATTAGTACTATTATTATTAGATTGGTTTATTCATAATATAATTAGTTGTTTCAGCAGCAATTTCAGCTTATAAAAATTGTGTAGTA